ACTTGAAATAAATTAAAGATTAAACTACTACAACAAACATAATTTTGACTGCAAGCAAAATGTACTTTTAGTAGTAAATGTTGGCTTCTTTAGCTAAAATAGTCTCACCTTTATCTCAGTTGGAAAAAGCAAGAGAATACTGAATTGACTTGGAACACAGCAAAGTTGTGATTTTTTTTTTTAATGTGATACTGCTGGAGCGTTTTGCCTCACATGCAAACAGCATGTATATTTTTACCTGTTCGTTCTGTAAAATATTTTGCATTATTTGTAGGTATTCTCAGAATCTAGGAGTTGGACTAGTATTCTGGGTTTTGATAAAGGATTCTTGCAGATTACTTCTGTAGAGCTTTATGAGCTTATAGGCATCAGTTTTTAAATTTCCAAGAGACGATTTCTGTATCTGGATTTAAGTTTGTTTCTGTGGAAAAATTAGATTTTTTGTCACAGAATAAAGACTTCCGAATTACTGACCTAATATAGTACAAGACTCACACTTGACAAAGAACATTTGTGGGTTTTAATAGAAAGAGTAATTATGTAGCATTTTGTCTTCTGCACTTTACTCACAGTGAATATGAGCCACATCATTAATACTTATTGATATTTTCAGATAGTTTGGGGTCATAACTGCTGTAAAATTTTAGCTATTTTAATGCCACTGTGGGCTCATGCCGTGTGTTAGGCTGTCAATGTAAAGTTATTGCATGGATTCACTGGAAGGCCATACAGGTTAATTTGTGTTACACCAAATTCTGGCTGAGCATGTCTCTGAGATAAGAAAGCTAGTAAGATGAGCATGGGACCAGAAATGGAGATTAGGCCATGGTTCAAGTAATACATGGACACCATTGGTGACAGCACCAGACTTTCAGGGCATTTTGACTTGTCTCTGTTGGTAGACATCTGAGGAGATGAGGCTACCTAGGTAATTAAACTGCTGGACTGATTTGAGCTCTGATTGGCCAATGGTGATATGGGGATGATGGGGGACTTCCTGAGGTGCAGGTTGATAAAGAACCTCTGTCTTCTTTAAGCTGACTTCCAGCCCAAAGAGCTCAGCAGCATCTGCAAAGCAGGATGTTAAACGCTGCAGAGCTATTTCTGTGTGGGCCACAAGGGCGGCGTCAGCGCAAAGCAGCTCCCAGACAAGATGGTTTAAGGTCTTAGTGTGGGCCTTCAGTCACCTTAGATTGAATAGACTTCCATCAGTACGGTATCGAATGTAGATACCGTCCTGATCATCAAGGTCTGCCGTGGCCCTTTGGAGCATCATGCTGAAAAAGACTGTGAATAGGGTAGGAGCGAGAACGCAGCCTTGTTTCACACCATTCTTAATTAAAAAGGGCTCAGAAAGTGTGTTGCCATATCTGACTTGGCCGTGCTGATCCTCATGGAGTGAGATGATCATTTTAAGGAACTTGGGGGGACGTCCTAAACGTTCCAAAATCTGCCACAGACCTTTTCTGCTCACAGTATCAAAAGCCTTGGTGAGGTCGACAAAGGTTACATAGAGACCTTTGTTCTGTTCCCTACACTTCTCTTGCAGTTGTCTGAGAACAAATACCATGTCTGTGGTACTTCTGTTGGCTCTGAAACCACATTGGCTTTCAGGTAGAATTCCTTCTGCTATAGCAGATATTAGTCTGTTCAAGAGTATTCTTGCCAGGATTTTGCCAGCAATGGAGAGCAGAGTAATACCGCGGTAGTTTGAGCAATCTGATTTAATACCTTTCTTCTTATACAAAGTGATGATGACTGCATCTCGAAGGTCTGATGGTAGTTCGCCGAGTTCCCAACAGCGCACCACAAACTCATGAAATTTGGTGTGAAGTGCAAGGCCCCCATGCTTCCAGACTTCAGGTGGAATTCCATCAACCCCAGCTGCCTTGCCAGTTTTCACCTGCTGTATGACCTTGAGGATTTCTCTTAAAGGGGGGCAGTATCCAATTCATACTTTACTGGTTGTTGTGTGATGGACTATCAGAGCTCAAATCAGTCCAGCAGTTTAATTACCTTGGTAACCTCATCTCCTCAATGGTAAGATTGACGGAGAGATAGACAAGAGGTTAGCCAAGGCACATAGTGCTTTTGGAAAACTCCACAAAAGAGTATGGCGTAATAAACACTTGAAGAAAAGTACCAAGATCAGTGTTTACAGAGCCATAGTGCTTATTTCCAAAGATGGTTTTATTTGTCAGTTTACTAAGGTGTGTGCCTGGAGTCTTCTGCAGCCAAACCTTGCTTTTATTTGGACATTTAGTATATGGACCAGTCATCCAATACATGGTAAGCCCTGAGTACATTTATTTAAATTCATGTTGGATCAATAGCAGAAATAACTTGTTTTGGTTCTTTCAGATAAAACCACAGAGTTTAAATTAAAGTGGTGGTTTTATTCCTTGGAATAAAATTATGCTTAAGCTTGCAGTTTTCCCTTCACTTTAATTAGAAGTAGGTGGAGCTTGCTGCTGGAACAGGTGGTATTTTCTTTTCCATAATCTGTAAGTTCCTGTGGCCTAGGTTTTGAAACAAATAACTGTTCTTGTGGAGTAGATCCAGGCATTTATCTGACTAAAAAAATAACACCACTGAAAGAAAAGTTCTCAGTCAGACCAGCTCCATTATCTAATTTGACACTTGGAAAAATGAACATAAAGTGGCAGAGCAATGGCATGTGGGTATTGGGCCTTTAGGGAGGTACTACTCTTTTTGGTGGCAGGCTGTATTCGTATCAGGTGACAATGACTTTGAGCCAGAGCATGAAATATTGGCATTGCTATATAGTAAGAGGGAAACTAGATTCAAATATGAGGCAGAAGTTAAGATTTTGCAGACCTGAGTACTGACATGTATTAAGTTTAAGCATGTCTTGAAAATTCCATGTTTGCAGCATGTTATTTTATACTTGTAGTAGCATAGAGTCCTTAAGATAATGTTGAAATATGTGTCTGAGAATTTAGCAAATGCTTTTCTCAGCCTCTCAAACAAAATACTAAGCAGTGGTACCTGAGACAGAATTTCTTGAGAGAGCAAAGAATCTGAACATGTTCTCAAAATGGTAACAGTGATCAAAACTATGATATTTGAGAGAGACATTATCTACAGATTCCCTTGATTGTGTATGATTGATTAGGACTGATTGCAATCAGTTATACATACTGCATGTGTAATATGGCCTTGAAGCAGTTTCTTTTCTGAAAATTGACTTTGCAGAAATATTGCTTTATTACTCATGCTTACAACCTGAATGTATTCAAAAAGCATGTTTGTAATAGTGATAAAATAACACAGGTATCAAAAATAAGATAGATTATTAAACTTCAAATACAGGGATAATCAGTTGTGTCACTACAAGCTCTATCAAAACAATTGAGTTGTGTAAATCCCACATGAAGACATAGCTTGAATGCCACTGGACTGCTCAAGGATCAGTAAGACCAAAATATTCAAACAGTGAGATAGGACAGAAATATTTTGGCTTGCATGTGAGTATGTCAGAAAGGAATTTAGCTTCTTTTTATCATTTAAAGATGACTTTGTAGTCATCTAACTGGCTGTTAGATTTTTTTTTTCTCCCCATATTTAATTTGGTAATCATTTGAAAATTATAAAAAACACAAAGTCCCGGTTTAAAGCTGCTTCTCAGGCAGAAGTGCAGAATATTTGTCTGTAGAGCAGTCTCATGAAAATTATTGTATGAGTGTTTCTCTCACTTTCTGTGACAGATTTTTCTATTGAAACAAAACATTTTCACACATACAGACACAAAGCAATGATTTTAAAAATACTAGAGATAGTCCAGAAAGAGGAATAGACAGTCAGTAGTTTTTCTTCCTTCTACAAGGCTGGTGAAAGTGTCCTAGATAAAGTATTGAAGTAGTAAGACTCTCCTATATAAAATCAATTTTTTTCCAAAAAGAAAGTGTTTGACCTCTTCTAGACACATTCATTTTTGATGTGTCAATTTTACAATCTAATTTAATCCAAGTTATAACTGGAGGCCATAAAATTTTGTTTCACTGCAGTAGTCTTACTAAGGCTTTATTTTTTAAGGACTTTGTTTGGAAAGCTGAAGAAAAGTGAGCCCCGATCTTTGACTGTCCGGTATAAATGTGCCTTTGCTTCTAATTGCTGAAATCTGAAGTCTATTCTTAGATAGGTTTTGGAAAACCAATTTCTGTTTGTATTTGAGGTCAGTTATCTCCTAGTGGACAGCCACTGCAGACATTTTCCAACTTCTGTTTGGGTTTAGATGCCTCTCTGAAAAACAAGGTTTGTTTGTTGCTTAATTGTTAAAAGAAAGCATAATATTAGTTAAATCATGTGCTACTTGTTGCATTTCCTTAGTTTGACATTGTAGGGATACTGCATGAAATGACAAGAATAACAAGCAACTTGGGATATTTCACTGATAAGATGCTGCATTACTATTTTAGCATTCTGGGAGAAGTTAGCTATATCATTGCTCTTCCTTTTAGGAAACAGTTTGGGTTTGGTGTTTTCATCTCTGAAAAAACATTGGATACTTACATTTTCTTCAAGATACTGATTCCACAGAGCAGCTCGCTTCGTTATGGGCTAAAAAAACTTTTCAGATAGCAGTAGTATATTTTCTGTTCAAAGGTTTGGCAGTGTAACACAAAGATATAATAATTCAGAACATTTTGTACTACCAAGTTTACATGTAAATCAGCTGGCTGGTAAATGTACCAGAAACTCTTGACATATATAAACTCTTCTGATGTGTGAACATAATGCCGTATTATACTTTTGTAACTCTGCAGGTATAATTGTGCTCTTCTGTTCCCCCAAGTACAGTAGCTTTAATTGCATTGGATACTCGAAATAGAAGTATTCATAGAAGAATTTACAGTGGAATACCAACAACTGCACTCTATGCACCTTTATGTTTACAGTTCCTTTATGATGAATGGCAATGCCAATTGTAAACCAAAACTTTTCTCGTACATTAAAATTGTTTCCTTCTGTCTTTGAAGGTTACAGAAAGCAGATCAGACCTTGAAGATTTACACCTTTATGCAACTCCTCGGGAGCAACGGTTTCGTATGTTTGCCAGTTTAGAATTTGAAGGACAGCTATATATGACTCCACATGACTTCATTCAGGCTGTTACAAGTGATGAACCCAAATGTAAGCAGGAGTTTTATAATGATAAAATTGCTAGGGAAAATGTCAGCAGTGTATGTTATTTTTCCATTTGCTTTTGATTCCTACTTCTATTTCTGACTGTAGTAGAGAGATACTGCATCTTCCACATTTTTATTTTTAATGGTATCCAAGTGCATACAATCAGTATGCTTGATTGCTACTAGATTGCAAACATCTGCTATTAGTTTAACTTTCTTCTCGTAAAGGTCACAAACAGCTCAATAGTCATGAAAGACAGCAAGTCGTGTCATTTCCATGGACACAGTTCCTTTCAGAGCAGGCCAGTATTGCTGTAAACTCTTGCTTCCTTCTCTTTATAGTTATTCTATAAACAGGCAACATATGAGTTCTCTAAATAACTTAGGATAACACTTTTTTGCGGATGTTGCCATCTTAAATTCTCATCTGCTGTCCTGTTGGAGTGTTTTGCCCCACAAAGGTTCTCTGACTATATCACAGCGTTCTAAATAACATGCTTTGACTGAGAGATTCAGTCCCCTGGGAGATCCACTTTCTACACTTTAACATTGCCAGAGTTAGTACTATGTGTTAGTTAAATTAATGAAAAATCAACTATCAACTTTAGTTCATTTACTGTAAAATCTCTGTTTTAAGTATCAAAGAGTGACTGATTAGTAAGGTGATCCCTTTCAGTTCTAGTTTGATTTCCTGCCCCTCAGGTTTGCAGTGCATTGGTAGCAGCACACAGCTTCTGGGGAATGTGAATATCTTTGCTCAGGTGTGACATGTGTGATCACTCACCTTGGGTCTTTCTTCATGAAGTCTACACCACAGAACTAGTATAGAGAACAGTCAAAAGCAGCACTAAAACAGTCAGAGGAGAGCTTAAAGCTCTGTGCAGATGTTGAATTTCTTCCCTTTGTTCTCCTAACAGTAATGAAACAGGGAAAGAATTTAGCCATGGCACATCAAAACTTCTGTAACTTTTGAATAAAGATATAATCTTGTTATAACAGTGAAGACAGAGGATAGAGCTTAGATGGGGAAAACTTGCAAAACTTTGAAACTCTTACCAGAAAACAAAAATTATTTTTTTTTTTTTTGCTTTGCAGTTAAAAGAGAGGAAGCAGATTGCTTATCACACGATTTAATACAAATACACATCGATGATTTACATCTACTTCCTCTGCCCAGACCTTCAAGTCTTCCTTTTTCTGTTACTGTGGGGTTGGGTTTCACTGTGTATGGTCATGAAGCACTTGTGCTACATGTACTGGACATCAGTTAAACATTTGGTTTAACTCCATTTTATGACAGTTTGACTGGCTTGACCACACTATATGTATGGTTTGCTGTTAAAATTTTCCCATGCTAACAAAATTTACGCTTCCTCCTCTATCAAAGCAAGTATTCAGATTTTAAAAACAAAACCAAACCAAAAAGCATTTAACTCACAAGGACATTCTGTTTATCTCATTACAAAGGAGAAGAGATCTGAGATCTGAACAGTCAGGCACCCTTCTGAGTTCAGTGTAGCAAACCTTGTTTGTATCAAAATCCTTCCTGTGCATCCAGTTCACCTCTGAGACCAAAAGCAAAACTAACCTGGATGTTCTTTAGATTTTTAGACTAATATCAGAGACTACATGGCTGACAATTATTTTAAGGGATTGTAACTAAGCAGAAGTGGATGACTTCATTATAGTGGAAGTCATATTGTCTGGGACATTTGGACAGAAGGCTGATAAATAGGAATAGGTGAAATAGATGACCCGCAGATTACCACTTCCAGCTTCTCATATCTGACTGGGATAATTTTAACCCTTGTTAAAATTATCAAAGTACTGTCAAAGCATTGTCAAAGTACTGCTTTGTCTGCTTGAGCAAGTCTTAATTTTCTATTGAAGTCTTTCTCTATTGAAGGCAGTGCATTTAAGGAAGGTGTTTTTCAGAATAAAGTAATACATTCTAAACATCTTATTTTGTATTTTTGGGGTCATTGTATAAATACGTTGCAGGTTGTAAATAATTGGGTCCATTCAGGCTGACATACTAGAGCATCTATGTTTTGCATAAGAAAAAAGAACATAGACGTGGGAGGTTTTATGGATGAAGACTAGGAAGGTCTTAGCATTTTTTTTCTTTTTTGACAAAACTCCTTTGAAGCATAATAATAGTAGCTCTTTATGTCAGCTTTATAGAAAAGCTAATAATACTAGACCTGAATGAGATTCGTGATGGAGTGAATGCGTCTATTGTGATTGATTTACTTTGGAAATCATGTAAACCCTACAAAAGTCAAGAGGGTGTTCACTTCCTTTTTTGATTAAACACTAACTAATATTATAAGAGTATATTTTCTTTTATAAAGTGAAGCTTTTTACTCCAGGCATTTATTATAGAAAATAGAAAATAAATGCTATAATTAACTTGCTGCTGTCTTTATGGTGCAAGCTTTCATTTGGGAATATATAATATTTTTAAGAGTCAAGCTTGATACGTTCGTATCAGCCAGTTATGAGAAGAGGAAATATATTTTGTTCCCTGTAGTGCTAACTACAGTAATTTTAGCCTTAGCTGTAAGAAGTATGAATATACACTTAGATCTTCACTGACTTGTCTAGAAAGAAAATACGTATATAATGTATGAGACTGGAACATTATCTGATTGGAAAATTAGATATATAAATTAGATATATATATATTAGATATAAAATTAGATATAAAAATTATATATATAAAAATTATATATATATATTAGATATATATATTCTCCAATCCATATATGGATTTGTATGGTAAATTAGGTCGTTATGGGGGAGTTTATTTAGTTTTCTGAGACAAGACTTTAATTGAATTTTAAAAAATAAGGTGAAAAGTATATGAAAATCTGTTAGCTTGTGTTATGATGTTGTTTGATATAACTCCCCCATAGTTAGAGTGGGATTTGTGGACTGCCTTGGTGCAAACCTTTACCAAGATGTAAAATTAATTTCAGTCAGTTTTTAACTATGAACTAATAAAAGACTGTAGTAAGTAGCTTCTGTATTGTGTTAATTATTTAATGGAGCATGGGAAAGGGATTTCTAGTACCACAGTGTGTTTTGCTCTACAAAAAGGAGCCTTTACCCACCAAAAATTTATGGATTTGATCACATGCAATGCTACTTTTTGTACCCTTGTGAATTCTGATATTCACAGAACCGTGTCTTAATATTTATTGCATCTGTGCAAATATTCGTCTTGAGAGGGTGGGGATAGACCTCAATTTTTGAATTCTTGAATGGTTATGGACAACTCTTGTTAAATATAAGTATTTTCCTCTGTGCCTGGAGTTAAGATGTTAGGAAGAAAGGATCTGGTCAGTCATAACCAGTTTTCAGTGCTAATGAGCAGTTCTGAATTGGAGGCCCTCTTCAGCTCTTCTGTTATAACTTAAAAAGAATTGAACCTGACAGAGGCTGTAAAAGGAAGCATGAATCTGAGTTACTAGGAAGGGCTGAAGAGGGTCTTAGTGCCTGGTGTAGTTTTAAGGACTTTTTTTTTCTGTGTTTGCTTTAAAATGTATCAGTGGTCCCTGAAGCAAGGGCCAGAATTTAGGTCTCCCTACAATCTGCATTGTAATACTACTGCTACTAAATAATCATTTCAGAGTATTGAAAGCTGAAAACAGGAAACCATTTCCTGTTAAATGTTTTAAGGACGTATTTTGGAGGTTGAAAGTCTTTTCTCTCACTGAAGCAGAGTTGGATTAAAAACTATACATCTGAATTGTTTCTTTAAAGTTAGGACTTCAGATATGTATTAAGCTAATTTTTTTTTAAATAACGTAAAGAGAATTTTTTTGGAAGCAGGTTAAAGGTTATACTCATAGAGTAAGGAAAATACTACTTCTTTGTCTTGAAAACACAGTGTAATGCAGTCTAATTTTTATGACATCACATTGGCAAAACGAAATGCTGTGAGCTCATGACTTTGTCTTTTGTTGCAGGTGCTAAAAAGTGGCGATCCCTTTCAAAGCAGGTGGGCATTAATTCCTGTGTGTCTTATAACCATATATTTTGATAGTTACTTTAATTCAGTATGCAAACAGAGTCACGGGAGAGTTTAATTTCTTCATTGTTGTCACTTCAGAGTCAGTGGAATCCAGAATCTCTAAGATGCTTTAGCAGTTGTGCCTGTTATTTACTTAATTCCTCTAGCCTTTGGCAGTTGCTTCCTCAGTCCATATCTGCCTGCATTTCTTAGTGTCTAGGTGTAACAGGTATATCCCAAACTGACTGAAATACTTATGCCACTCTCTCCCTTTTTGTGGTGTTTAAGTGCCTCTTACTTTTTTTTTCCCCACATTTCTATAACTGCAGAAGCACACTGTTTCCCTGTATTTTAAGGAAAGTACATTCATATTCATGGGTGAAGTTTGCTTTAGTTCAGGCTGAGTGTTTTAAAAGAACAGTTGCTTGGATTTTGTATGAAGACTTTATTGAAATGCAGGGAAACTTATCCTTGGCTTCACTGAGTATGATCAGTTGTGAGTAATTCCAGCCACAAATACATTGCATTCATGCAGATGAGTAATACTTGTAATAATTGTGTGTGCAAAATTTATACGGTGCTTGAGTTCTTTCAAAATGATTGTGGTAACTGCAGTTAAATTAACTGGTAATTTGCTTGCAGTTTCTTATCTTTTATATTGATTTCCTAGAATTTACTCGTAATGCGTTGACTTCTTCATTAAATATTGAACTATATGCTTTTATATTTTTTAAATCTTATTTTTTAGGAACTGAATCAGATCCTTATGGAGACACCACCAGTTTGGAAAGGATCATCCAAACTTTTCCGTAACCTTAATGAGAAAGGTGATTGGCGAAAACTTATTTTCCTGAACCAAATTATCACTGTATTAATTTGTTGTGGTTAAAGTGAAGTTGTACTTTCATATGCATCACAATTTCAAAAAGATAAAAAGTTTGTCCTTGCTCTCTCCATTTTACAGCATGGAAAATTTCCTTTTAATCTCTACAGTGTTTTAATGATGCCATCTTACAACTAGCCTCTTCAGGTGAATTTGTGTCTTAGAGCTTGTTAAACTCATGTTGAATGTTTCAGGTTCAGTTTGTTGCAATGAATGGTATATAGACAGAGTATTTTAATAAAGACACAGTATCTTTTTTTTTTAATAAGTTTGATAATATGATTTATTTCCAAAGACGGTAATGGTATTGTATATCACTGAATAAGCATTTTGTACACAACACAAAGTGACAATTTCAGAAATGCTATATATCCCTTTAAGTTCTGCAGATAGCTTTTAAAACTCACACTATTGGTAAATGAAGAGCCAAGAGTCACTCCTGGTCTCCTCTTTTTTTTTTTGTTTCTTAATAAGCTCTATCAAAACTTCAAAACCAAAAATATAGAGTGTAAAAAACAATGATGGCTTGTACAGACATTTAAAAGCTATTTATGATAAATTATCCGCATATTTATTTGCTTATATTCAGAATGGCAAAGGTCTGGTGGAGCGTTTGAAACATTTTTAAAAGCAGCCCCAAGTACTTGCTATAAAATGAAGACAATTTATGGATGTTTAAAATAAATATGCCAGCAACAAAATTCCAGTCAAATGCAGCTCAAATTTATTAAAGGACTAAGTAGTATAAACCTACTCTCAGAGGAGGATCCTAGGCTTGAATCTCTAGTGCATGAAGGCACTCCCTTTTTTTTCTCAGTGTGCAACCAGAACTCTAGAGAAGCAGAAATTGGCACATCTTTGCACTGTATTTCCATGTATTTCTTTGCTCTAGGCTGCTTTCTATATAATCTAGCTGACTTTTGAAATATCAATTGCATAAAAATTCAACCTCAGAATCTCTTAAATCAATACATTATCAGTTTTAAAAAACATGTCTGGATGTTGCTTGTTAAGCCTGTAATAAAATGTCTGCAATATGCACGGCCTTGAATCAACAGTATCTTACTCCAGTTTTCTGCCAGAGAAGTTCTACAGAAGTTGATGGAATTAGGAGGACTCAAAACTGTCGTAACAAGCTGGTAAAATTAGTAATAAACTTTAGCAGTTAGATTTTTTTTCAGCATGCTTTCTAAAAAAGTGAGTTCTGTTGTCCAGTTTTATACATCATATGAGAAAATACGATGGGTCTTAGGACTGATAATGTCATTCAGTAAGCCAGTGAAAGGAATGGGAATAGAATTCAGCTCTCCTTAATTCTAATTTAGTTTTTTTTTAATTTATTACTTTACTCATTTTATTTAAAACATGCACATACGAAGCAAGTAGCAAAAGCCTATGTCCATTTATTTTCCCTTGGATTTATTTAATTCAGATAAGTCACACTGATTTATGCCCATTGTCCTTAAGTTTTATTATGTTTTATCCTTGAGTGCCCTCCTTCTCTTCTTTCTGACCATAGTGTAAGCTTTTCTTCCCTTCAATCATCATTTCAGAGCCTCTCTCCCATAACACTCAGAGCAATCAACCAGAACTATCTGTCTGCAGCTACAATACACCAGTACAAACAAAAGGAGAGAATACTTTCAAGGCTTTTTTATTGCTCTCTTCATACTGTGATGGACTGCTTGACAATTGCACTTTCTTTCTCTGTTTTACAACAAAGAAGGTGTCATCAAAAAGCCAAAAATACATATTTACATTTATTGACTGGTCATTAAAGGTTTTACATCACTGAATGAGAACCTTTGAGGTATCTGATTTCTTGATAGCAGATCTTTGAAAACTAATTTCTGCAAGCTGCTGTATAAAATCAAGAAGATAAAGCATAAGAGCGTGTACTATTTAAATGCCTTTATTTAATCTTTGCTAGTCTTCAGTGTGGAGCTATGTGTAAATTGAGGAAAAGAGGAGGTGGTATTAAAAATGCTTAGTAACTTCCCTAACTAGATCTACTAGTAGTAATAAAATCTTGGTTGTGAAGACTTAAATTTGCTTTTGGATCAAAAGATGGGAAATGAAGTATAACGGAAGTAAAATCCACATGAATGATACAGTGTTTTGAGTTTTAATTGTACAGATTTTTCAGTGTAAAAAAAAGTTCAGATGACTATTTGCATGGTTTGTCACACACTCATTTAAGTCAGATTTTAAAAGATATTTAAACATCCAAAGATTTGGCTGTTTTTGGAAAAACTTTTGCACCTGACTTGGACTGAAATCAAGGAGACAGCCAGCAACTTCTGAAAATCCCAGCTGATAGACATCTTTACTCTCAGGGATCTAAATACTTTTTTTTTTTCTCTTTTGAAATAGTCTAATATTGTGGACTGACTTAACACTTCTGGTTTTGGAGGGCAGACAAAATCAATTTGTTAGAAATAAGGAACATGTTTTCCTAGTTCAGCCTCAAAGGTCACTGGAGCTAAGGGCTTTTGGGGGAGCTGCAAGTCATTGTTTTCAGTTCTTACTGAACTGTAAGATGCTTCTCGTTGTTGCCGCTGTGGGCATTTTGAAAAGTTGTCTCTTTTTACCCCTTACTTCAGAGCTAGAAAAGCACAAGTACAGCTTATGGTACCAGACATAGTATTTGGGGATTGACTTCAGCTCTTATTTAAATTTTGCCTTAATCGCTTCTGAAGAGAAAAGGAAGTGCCATTCCACACTATGATTCCCTTTTGACATCTTGTAAAAGATGAAAAGCCTAGAACATATTCCTTACAGGTCTTCTGAACACAGAAGAAGAGAGAGTACAAATGTCTTTAACAGGCTTTAAAAATATTTAACAAATTACACATATATTTACTAAGAGTTTTAATATGAATTTCTGGTAATTATTATGAAAAGGTTCATACAAGGTCGACTTAAAAGCCAGAATCTGTGCTTTCATAAGTAACACGAGACCAAGTTTTCTGTTAATATAATGCACTTAAAAACCACATATTGAAGTCAAGAACTGTATTCAAATGGGATGTATCAGGAGGGAGCACTGTTAATGTTCTCCAAGTAAGTCTTTTCATACTGTTGGAGAGTGTTGTCATGAACTATTGGTGGGGTTTTTGCAAAGAAAATTTAATAAATCATTTATATTAGCTTTTAAGAATCTATCCAGCTTCTGTTTAATGAGCTGTTCTCCACTGACTCTAGTTGTTTATTTGCCATATTTAGTGTACTCCTCCCCTAAAATACTAAAAAACAAACAAAAAGCCCCACACTCTAGTTCAATATTTTAGACAAATAACTCATTTAACAGGTTGAATACAGTTATATGCACACAAGTATGAATATGCATATACACGCGTACAAAAATTCTTCTTATACATAGATTTAATGGTTTCAAGTTTAGGATATAAAGTGAAACTAATATGACATAACTTTTTTTTTTGTCTTCAGGTGTGATATCTTACACAGAATATTTATTCCTCTTATGTATTTTAACAAGTAAGTATTTTTGGAGAAAAAACCCTAAAAGATTCATTACAAATTTCTACTCTCTGAATGTGTTGCTGTATGTTAAAATATTCTTACCCTTATCCCACATATCCCAGTATTGAAAAAACTATATCATACATCTCTATGTCCATTTGAACCTCTTTTGCCCTAGTGCAATCTTGTGTTATGTTTATTGAAATGTTGAGGAAGCCAAACTATACACTTCAGCTAAAGCCCAATTAAGAGCTTAAGTTTATTTTCTTGTTTGAAATTTCTATAAAATTTCAAGCTAAATTTGCTGACATTCATAAGGGACACTGAATACAGGGAGAAGAGAAGGATACCCATTATTACTTGTTTCACCTATTAGTGCCTGATAGGTGATATCAATGAGACAATAATAAAATATAAAGTATTTATGTTAGAAAACACTAACAAAATTGAATAATTATGCTTTTATCACCCATAAAACTGAATTAGAATAGAGTTAGAACGCTATTCTATTAGAGTGGAGAACTGAACTGAGCCTGATACAGACTTTGTTTTGATATTTTGAGATGTGTTTTTTGGGAAGGAGCAAAGAGTTTTATTTGTCTTTCATTTGTATGTAATTAAACCATTTCTATTGGATTCATAGGGGGTTTTCATCAGACATGATCTGGATTCCTGTTAGGAATCAGAGCAGGAACTTGACCCTAAACTCATCTCCAACTCCATGGATATTCTTCTGTTACTTTTTTGTTACCTGGGTTAACTTTTGGCCATAATTCATCCATATTTCAAATCTCTGAGTGTCACTAAAATGTTGCCTAAAGGCTTCACTTCCAGTTACCTTCAAAATCCCCATGTTTCAGAAATAATTTAAAATTCTAACATGGTCTCAAACTTCAATGGCTCTAAGCATGTAAACAAGAAAATGCTGGATGTCTTTCTGCATAGCATTTATTTTGATCAGAAGCTGTTGGATCCTGTAACTTTTTTGCAAAATCTTTAAAAGTGTCTTTTTAAAACACTGTGTTTTAATAGAAAATGTATTTTCTACAAATCTGGTTTTGTAACATAAAATGGATTCTGCCTATGAACAGTCTTAACTATCTAACTAGCCATTACTGTGAGATGTTATTCTTGGATATTTCATGTTCTATTTCTACTTTTGTGAGCACGCCTTCTGTTGGCATAACACGGGTAATACTGTTTTACAGATGGTACAATTTGCATTTACTATGTACACAAATGTACTGATGTACATTAGCTGAGGGTATGGCTTTTATAAATGGACATTGAATAATTCCCTAGAGTTTTATATTTTCTTTCTTTCCAAATAAATAAATAATTGGATGGGATTTTTTTTGGCAGAGCCACATGCAGGTTTTAGAATTGCTTTCAACATGTTTGATACGGATGGCAATGAAATGGTGGACAAAAAGGAATTCTTAGTGGTACGTATATTTTCAGGTTTTGAAGTAATCTTGAAACAAATGTGATGATGTCAGTAGTTATGAGCATACAAGCTATTCTTCACTGAGTGCAGTTGTTTATTTGCCTTATTTAATATAAATGGTTATTATAATGTTAATTGAAAATAGTAGCTCCTTCTTACAGTGCATGGATGTGTTGTATATAATGATTTTTTAAGCTTAATTCCAGTTTTTATTCTGTAGCTTTTTAATTGCTTCTACATTCACATATAGTTAGGCTATTAAACTAATATAGCTGTATGAATTGTCAGCAGAGTTACTTAATTGCTATAATCATAAGGGACTTGCAAAAGAATCTTTTCCTGGGAGACCACTTCACTTTGCCATTCATTCTGCTGATAATTTCAAATAACCTGAAAATATTGACCGACATAATGGGACACTATCACCTGTTTTGGACAAGATTTGTAATTAAATAAAACATATTGTACATATATCTAGTTCAGGTTCTCTAGAAACTAACATCTAAAATTTTGTGGTTAGTGGTGTAAACTGCACAAGGCTTTTATTTTTTACTGAACAAGTACAGATGATTAATAAAATATATACAAGAATCGAATCAGATGCTCTTAAAAAAAGACTTTTGCAGAAGACATAAATTTTATCTTCACAGAGTTTTATGTAGTTGAGCTTATAAATAAATACAGTAAATACACATGAGAAAAAGTCCACTGCCACACTGAAAAAGATGGAACAAAATATAAAGAATGAAACAGACACATGGAATGTATTTAAGTGTCTGATTCCATTTTATTTAAAACAAAGACACCCTAATTTCCTGTGTGCAGTTTCATAATTGATTCAGATAAACTATGCTAACCTAAAGAAAACAAAAATGTGAAAGAAACTGTGCTTAGTTTTAAGGACTGAACTTCCCTCAGTTCTACTTTTCAAGGAAGTTACATCAGAGGTCTGGGGGCTTGTTTTCTGGTGACATAGCTTAAGCAGAACAGGTGTCATTTATTTTGGAAGGTGAAACCACTTGCAAACTGTGCCATGCTGATAACTTTTTTGTCTTCTAATATTAAATGTACGCATCCTTGTAGGTGCTAATTCCTACTAAACATCTCCAATTGGAGGAACAAAATAGCAAGCATTGGATTAATTAGCAAAAGGAAAAATAGACGAAGAAGAAAAAAAAAGAAAACTTCTAATGATTCAATAACACAGAATGTAGTGGAATACTGAAAACTTTTTTTGATTTAAAAAAAGGATTTCCATCAAAACAGCTAAATGGGAGAAAATTAAAGCAGGAGGCTTCATCTTTCAGAAACTAATGCTAAAAATGAAATAAAATAAGCATGTGAAGTGGGAAGTAAGGACAACATTTAACTATGGATATTGCATCTTTCTTTCTAACTATGTTTTTATAGTCTCCTTCACATCCTGCTATGTATTTACTGTCTGTCATGGTCCCTGGCAAAAAAATTCTCCTTATACGTTTTCTCTTAGGAGACTTGGTGCATTAAAAAAAGAAAGGAGAATTTTCAAACATTAGATATACTGTCCTCCACCTATGATTGTATTTAACAAATTCATATAGATTAAACCTGAGCATAACTCTGCTTCATTAGAGTGTTAATGACACTTAAAAATTAGTTCAAAACCTGTAAGTCAGAATGGTAGATCTGAAGTGAAAAAGATTGAAGTAGGTAGGTAGATAGATAATGTTTGTGTAATTAAAAGTAAATTTGAAAATAGCAGTTGAATCAGTGATGCTGCAACTATGTTAGTTGACCCCAGAGCATACATTTGGCTTCTGTACTCACTTTGAATACGATGCATCATACCCTCTCTGCCTGGAAGCAGGAGGCTGTTCAAAAGATACCATTTGAACTTGGTCCAGCATTTTCAAAGTATTTATCCATAGATTACAGGCAACTATCAACACAAAATTGGAAGTACAGTTAATACTATTCAGTTTTGCAAATAAAGAGACTTTAAAGAGTTTTGTTTTGGGATCACATGTTGGGTGATTCTTGAAGAAAATAGTACATGTAGCGAAGAGTTAAAATTCTGTTAATTTTTCTGTTAGCAGCTTTAGTGTTTTTGTAAACTAATTCCATGGTGTTTGTGCTTCCCTTTTTGCTTATGTAATAGGGTTGAGGTCAGGGAACAGACGTATTGTGTTGCCTTGTTACAGGAGATCCTGTTTTTGCTGCCTTCGGTAGTCAATCCCATTATCCTGTTTCAAACAACGTTCCTATGAAAGTACTCCTACACCCTTTTTGAATTCACTTTTTTACTCGCTGGTATCCTATAGCACCCTTTCTGAACAAAAGATCCATTTCCAGAAGTTTAGCAAGTGCTTTAATGATGTATGCAACAGAATCCTACTCCCTTTGCCTCTGTGGCAGGGAAAATACATCCAAGGATGCATTGCTTTTTACCAGTCTTTTTTGGTTTTTCAATTACTGCCACTCTTCGCTCCTGCTTGATGTCATGTCACTTCACTTTTCACAAGGGACTTTCTTTCTACTTCTCTCTCTTCATTTAACTCTTTTCTTTCCATTGTTCTGGGTTGCAAATGTGTAATACTCTGGACCATACAGCTAGATGTCCTGTCATGACTCTTTCCTTGTCAGCATAAGTTACAGTAATTTGGGTGTGAAGCTTTGCAAAAAATTAGAAAAAAAATCAAGATCTGTAAGTTTATCCATACTCAAAAATAGGTATAGTGACACACAAAATATTCTGGTCTGTATTTGCCCTATAAGAAATTCCAGAACACTGTAGTCAATTTTAGTAATTCATAACATGTTTTTTATAAATGTGTTTTGCTACTTAATCACTAAACGCTGTATTCTTTTGTTTCAATAATGTCATACACCTGCAGTAAAGCTTGCTGATCCCCTTGTCTTAGTCATCTGCCTTCTCTGAAATAGTGATATCCTTAAATTTAGTTTGGAAAATTTCCTTGCAAAATTTATCGCACACACTTTATGTTTCACATTCCGATCCCTGGGGAGCTGTGTGGATGCCATGACAGTATCAGGTTTTATCAGACTCTTGGTAGGTAAAATCAGGTCTTTGAAAGGACTGTCACAATTGTGTCTGTATGCCATGGTGTTTGGTTCTGAAAAATACCATATTCCAGATAGGATGAATTTGTCAGCTGCAGTATTTATTCTTTTTCCAGCCCACTTAGAGGATAACAAATGCTACAAGTGACAGTACAATATTTTCACCTGCAGTTTTTTAAAAACTGAAGTTTACTGGTAGAGATCTAGGTGATATCATAGTTAATACTGCACTCTCTTGCTACGAAGAATAAACACTGTGACACTTTTTTCCAATGGTTTGGGAATATTAATAGGTGTTACTATAAATAAAAAGATCTAAATAAAATAGATACTTACAAAGAAAGATAAGTACAAACCAGTTCATACTCTGAAGACTTCACAAAAATAAATATGCTCAAGAATCTATGTTTGAAATCGTGTATTTGAGGTTTTCTCAGAAGTCATGTTTAAAGCTCTTAATGTTGAGATAGTTGTGAAAGGGGTATTTTACAAGACCTGAAGGTATTCTTTGAACAGACTTGAAAAAAAAGGGTACTTGATAAATTACTCTTGAGTAGTAGTCTGTTGCTGCTGAAGGGGAATGTTTCACCGCCACCAGGTGTTTCTACCCCTCCCTCGTGCCAGCAGGAGTTAAGAACTGATCAGGTTGGAAACTAACAGTATGAAAAAAAGATTGATCCAGCTGACGGTGTAACTACACAGATACTAATTAGTACCCAACAAGAAAGAATGTGCCTTGAGGTGGTGAAAAAGGCTGGAACTCCCCCTTTTTATATAGGTCAGATTGGCTAAATAGGATGTTCTTAATATTGTGCTCCAAAGTAGAATTGTTAGCCTTCCTTTGTGGAAAAAAATATTTCCTTTTTCCTTTCTGTGGGATGGTTTTAAGTCACAGAAAGAACATAAAGGCATGACTATGAACAATAAAAGATCATTGAAACACCACTATTTTAGTAAAGAGCTACATTTTAATCCTGTTTGTAGTTTCCTCATGATGAAAGGTTGTTATGCATGTGAAATAGCCTGAACACTAAATATGAATAAAATGGTTTGGTTTTTAGCTCCAAGAGATCTTCAGGAAAAAAAATGAGAAGAGAGAAAAACGAGGAGATGAAGAAAAACGTGCAATGCTGGTAAGTAAAATCAGAATAGTTGCATCTGGGAGTTGGTTTACTTTCTTCAATGTAGGACAAAATTGTGTGTGTATATATTTCACTAATCACTGTTTTTTTTTAAACACTAAATTCATATTGTTAAAAGAATATGCGTAACCTTATATGTAGAAAAAAGCATTTATCCTAAACTGCAGTTGCTGAAAAAAAAATTAAGTGTATTCTATAAAGGAAAAAATAGTGTTTAAATATGGTTATGACATGTTATGACAGTACCATTGGTTGCATTTGGAGTCTTTAAATCTAGGGAAAAGTGAATAGTAATGACCCAGTGAGAGATCTTGGTGACAAGACCAAGACTCTTGCTTTCATAACTAACTAAAGCTGGTCCTGATGCTTGTTATCAATAGAGTAGTTTTAAAATAGATTATGAAATATTACAAGTGAACTTAGATTTTGTTTTCAAATTTAAGTCTTTACTAAATAAGGCTTATGACCAATGCAAAATATTTTCAGTTATATATATGAATCTGAATAGATTTTTATGGAATATTGGATACTCACATGATGTCAAATTTGCATTTCTTATGGACATAAGAAAGGTAAGTCAGAAATAAATGAGCCTGTGGTGGTTTGTTTGAAGGATGGCAGCAGTATCAGGTACTTATTTTGCTGCTGGAAAAGTAAAAATTGGGTACAAATGTCTGTCAAGCCCACAGCAGAACAAACCACGTTCATTTGCAATTTGCATATTTATGGAAAAAATTCTTTGCTATAAGAAACATTTTGACACATGCACGGAACTTCTCACGGTGTCCATTATCCTTTTGCAACCATAGATGCTTGATCTCAGTTCTTTGTCCCTGAAATCATAAGAATTTTGAATTTCAAGAATTAATACTTTTTAAACCTTCCCACCCTCTCCTGCTCAGCTTTACAAAATGCTAGGTCAGTTGTTGAATCTCACACACACTGTTTATTTTGAAAAAAGGAAATGTACACACAAGGAAAGAGCTTTTGGAAAACACAAAGATTGCAAAATCGCACATTTCTCCTGAGAGTAATTTCTACAAATCTGTACTTCTCTTTTGAAAATTTGAAGAATGAGATTGAAAATAAACCATTTTTTCTTCACTGTCATTTTGCAAACAAAAAACCAAAAAGACTAGTAATATAGAAAGTAAAGGTTTGCTTGTCTTAACCTATTTTGTTGTCTTTTTTTTCTCCCTTCATTTGTCTTCATTCTGATGTGTGATACTTGCCTTGGCCCATTTTTGCTGTATGTCAGCGTCTTCAACTTTATGGATATCATACTTCTACTAACAGTGTATGTACTCTAATTATTTTCAATTGATGCAGTCTTCACCAGTGAGATAATATGCTATAAGAAAATTTACTATATTTATCTTTTTCATGAAGTAAATTACTTCTGCTAATCTGTAAAAATGCGAGGGATCTTTACCTGGGTAAAAAATTGTGCATGCTCATTGCACACGTTCTGAACAGGCAAGCCTACCAGGAGGAGAGGTTGTTCTCTTTATTTATATATGAAGGAAACAATATTTTTAAGGGAAAGTTGAAAATACATTTTAATAAATTATAGGCTTATTTTTAATTAATGTATGTAAATTAAGTCATCCTGCATGAGTCAGTTGATTAAGCTCTGTCTTGTTTACTTGTGTATAATGTGAAGTAATAATTAGTCAAATGAATCCTTTACGTCTTTGTTTCCCCGAAAAAGGGAACCTGAAGAGAGCTTTCCTGTTGTTGTGCTTTGCTTACAGAACAAATACATAAGAACTTCCAGTGTTGAACTAGAATAGGATTTTACAGAAAATAGTCCCTGTATTATGTAGGTGACAGTAAACTTCTTTTCAATCATTTCTGAGAGGTGGGAGAGAGAATCAGCAAGAGAGAGATCTAAGGTTTTTAATGTCTTCATCTTGACCTGATTAATTTTTGGATCATGGCAGAAGTAAAACTGTTTTAAAAAAAAAAAAACCAGATTGATTTGATGTTTCAATAGAAGAATTAATCTTGTTTTGGTATGATTATTGTGATACTCAAAGTGAGGGGATGCAATCTGAGAATTAGATGACTAGTGAAATTCCAGTTTTAAAATTTGTTTCTTTATACAATCACTCATAGGAATGTGCAGATTCATTTCCTGTGAAGTTGAAACAAACAGTTTGGGCAATATGCAGGAATGAATTCTGTTGAATTAAAAGATGCAGTTGACAGGATATTGTGAGAAAAATGTAGTAGAATATGTAAGGCCTTATGATTCAATGGATTTCAGATTAGGCCTTACTGCAGTGAAACATTCTGTACAGAAGTTAACATATTCTTGTGCTGCTGCCTATTTCAAACTGAAACCAAACTAGTTAGGCATTCTACTCATACAATAATTTTCAGCTTTAGTAAAAATCCTCCTTCTAGACTCCAGCCATGTCCAAACACTTTATCAAGATGATGCCCAGGTGTTCTCCATCTTTTTTTTGCCCTCCTACTATCTGAATGGAGATCTCCATGCAAAGGAAGCTAAGGTGTATAGGAATTCACAGTATCCAATAAATCCCCCACCCCCAAAATTGATATTTTTGGGGGTTCTATTTCTCCTACTGAAACAAGAAGTGTGGCAGCCTTTTCAGTTTCCCTTGATGTCCCAAGGATTTGAAGATGCTCAGGACCAAGGAGATGCAACCCTAAAATTCTGGGATAGTCCAACATGCTGTGTTGGGCCCTTCTCCTCACTTTGTCTTACAAAACAATGCTAACTTTTTGAAAAGTGTTGAGGTCTGTAGACCATAGAAAGCATCGAATGATGTTTTAAATGGGATAAATATTTTAGTATTTTCATTTGCAAACTCTTTCCAGCCATGTTCTGGTGCATACTGCATTTGCGTCTCAGACCGCTTCAGCATGTATTGCATGAGTGCTTTCACTGGCCAAATGCCAACCAGAACATGATAATTATGATGAGATGCATGTAATGAAAATAAAATGTGCACACCCAGAAGTACTAATTCCATTGACTAAAGTAAATCTCCAGTAAGAGAACAAATTCGGTGAATACTTAAGATAGATAATTACAGAATTGTATGCATGAAAGAATGAGCTGCTGTTCATTCACAAGACAAGGTAAGTTTGATCATCAGACATGCAGTGTTTTCCTGATAAGTATGTTACTGTTGAAGTTGAACTTATTAGGCTTATTAGTTGAACTTACTGCCTTTCTTTATTAGTGCAAGGATGTCATCCTGATTTTTGGATGAAATTATTTTTATATATGGTGATATTTATATTTTAATCAAGGACAAAACACATTTCTTAAGTTTATAAATTATTAATTTTTGGCAAAACAGAATTATTAGAAAAAACAAAGGCAAAACGCTGAGTTTAAATGGTCATTTTCCTTTTAATAAATGTACTTTTAATAAATATTTTCGCTTTATGCTTTCTCTAATTTATTTTATTTGGGAAAGTGGAGTCTGGTGATACTTTTGGTACCACCAAGAGTAATAAGCAAGTAGCTGTGATAGACCAGTGTTCTTTCATTGTTACGTAACTGGGTTGAAATTTCTGTTTAGAAGCAAGAGAACGAAGCCATGCTTTTGAAGATCAATTGGAAAATATTTTAAAGTTTATAAGTGGTTTTTCTATTGTTCTTTGTTTTTCAAACAATTGTGCTTCTTGAAACTGCAGGTTCTTAAAACAGAAGGAGAGGACCTTGTCCCCAGAAGCTATTGGGATACTTTGAGACGTAGCACAAGCCAAGCACTCTTTTCGGACCTTGCAGAGGTATAAGACAACCTCTGTCTCTGGTCCATAAACAGACTTCTATTTTATTTATTTCTGTTCTGATTATTTTCCTATTTTATGCACCTTGTTTCTTTTCTTCCTTTTAATTACTTTGTTTTTTAAACCTGAAAGTTCTCAGATAAAATGCATTTGATTCTGTGCAGTTCAGTAATTGAAAGTTGTAATTTCCAAGAAAAAGCAAAGTTACCTTTTGAAAGAGTTGGAAGATGAAGTCCTCTTCAGTCCTCACTATAAGAAGCATTTTCTAACACTAATAGTGATGGTATTTCACAGTTGGAGAAGTAATTTCAGAAACTTTGCCGTTTAGACTTGGTCTAGTGATATGACAACTTTAATGAGACTTGCAGCCCTTTAAGCTTTATGTCCTTAATGCACTTTTTATATATGTTATCTGAACCTATCTTCACAAAAAGTATCATGCAAAGATTGTTTTAATTATTGGAGAAAACCAGGAATGTTTTAAGGTAACCAAAACATTAGTCAATATTTTTTCCATAGTGATTTAAATTCTAATAATTAATATTTCATGATCTGCTTCCAGATAATTGGATAAGACATTTATTTGTATCGATCATTTCAGAGGGTCAGAAAACTAGATCATTTAGGCTTTTCTGTGCCCCATGCAGTGAGAGTGATTGCTTTGCTGGTTGTGGCATTAAAGGACATACAGCAACTCCCCACTGACTCTGATCTCAAAGTCCCATGTTTCCTAAGCAGGATCATAATGAGAAAAGAACCAGGAACTGAAACATCTCCAGGGTAAAACAGTCTTTTTCTTTGGTTGGTAAGCAACGTGTGTTTCTTATTAAAGGTAATTAGTGTTTTGTCCCTGCTGTTCCTCTGCAGAAGCTATTGAATAACCTGAGGACGTCAATGGACTTATTTCTAATTTACTGATAGGCCCTTTATACCAGTCTGTTGTTCCTTAATTTTCACAGGGCTTTTTCTTCTTTAGTGTTAATCTTCTTACTCATAGTTGTGTTTATAAATGTAGTCAGATCCCTCAGTTTTAATTATCATAGGCCAAACAAAATAAGGTACTTGATTTTTCTCTTAAGGTAAAACCTAAATTTCCCAGGTATCAAATAGGCCTTTTCAGTATTTCTTTCTTCTTGCGTTCATTTGCCCTTGAACAAAACAAAATGTAGTTTACAGAATTGAGTTTTATAACAATATTTATAGGAATATTCACAGTAATAACACATACATAGTAATCTTGCAATAAAGCAGTATACCCAGTCTTCCTTCCCTTGCTTTTACATTGATGAGCTCCTGAACTGTTAGTCCAGTTATTAGTCTTTATTTATTCCACCAAATTTTAAAACCCAGAATATCAGTGCTCTTGTCCAGTCAGCTGAGAGAGATAGAGGGGAGAGAAGGCTGCTCTTTTCATTGACAATTTACAAAGCTTGAGGCATTTAGTTTTCTGAATAAACTGTCATCTTAATCTACAGTTAGCTGGCATGAATTCAGTCCCAAGTGTAGATGGATTTACATTTGGTAATGTCTACACACATTTAATTTGAAGAGAGAGAGGTTTTTTAATATCTGATGCCTCAGACTAATATCTATAACTACAATGTAACTGAAGCTTAACGCTGCTATGCTCAGCATCAATTTCAGTTCTCTGTAAAGCGTGTAAAAAGCCTGTTTGCTCACTTGTAAATCATTTTATGAAGCAAAACCGTGTTCTACATTTTCTCCACTGACAATTTCCCCTTCTCACCAAATTCATCTTTATCTCATTTGGTTGATTTTGAGTCAGCTGACTTTCATCCATATTCTTATCTCTCCCAGGTCCTCTTGCGTCTGAATAATACTATAGCTTTTGTAGTAAGAAAGTGGCATAAAGCTCAGTAACACTAGGGTCTGTGTTGTTTGATAGGCTTTTGAGAAGGCGATGTGTAAGCTGAAAAAGAGTGTAAATAAGGTTTGTTGCTGTGGGAATCAACAGGAAATGTCTCTTTGGGGAGAAAAGTTATTTATCACTTCTAGTTTCTTTCCAGGACAGTGTGCAATACTGTTTCTGCTCTTACTAATTTAGTAACTACACCATCCTGTTGGAATATGCCACTTAGCACTGAATTCAGTTTTTAGGTTTATTCCTGAATTACTAAGTGAAACTGAAAATCAGTAGATTATTTATCATTATCGAAAAATCAAGAATTTGCAGTAAGAAAGCTCTTAATAAATAATATACATAATTATCAGAATATGTTGCTACAAGTGGAATTAATGCTTATAGTGTTACCTATTTTTAGTCAAACCTCTTTAATCACAAGCTTGAAATTAACTTTTCAGAATATAAAATAAATATATTTCATGCACTTCAGGTTAGGAAATTGAGAAGATGTTGCTGTTATGCAGCAAGCCAATAATGTGATTGAAATGCTTATCTCCTGTTTGTCTCTTTACCTGTATTTGTATTATGGTTAGTGTAAAGGTAAAAACAAATCAGCAGGATTTTATTCTTATTTTAATGACTGCAAAATGTATTTGATCAAAATTGAGGCTCATATTTGTGTACATGGAAACAGGCATGGTCATTAAATTTACTTGATCTAAAGTAAAAAAATCGTTTTATCATGAACAGTAAACAATAGCTTTAAATGATTAAGGCTTTTGGTTTTATCCTTACCATGTAAGAGAGCGAATTTATTTAATGCTATCAGTGCAGAAGGACCACAGGAATACTTTTCAGTTGCCTGCAGTTCTGCAGAGAAGCATACTGGGTTGAGTTTCTGCAGTGACATTTTTGTTTGGGGTTTTTTCATTTAGCGAGGCCAACCAAATGGGAATTGTGAAAAGACTTACAGATTGTATTTTTTTTTAAATGGTTCTTTAGATATGGGCAAATGCAACCTAAGTCTAAAGTTTTGAAATGTTTTTGCAAGATGAAAGGCTGTAATTTAACATTTGATATCTTTTCAGTGTACTTGAGGGAAATTGTTTGAATGTGCTTAGGGATTTAATTGCTTAAAAGACATAAGAAATCAGGGTATCTGCATTTCAGTATATTGTGTCCTGTAGTGGAGGATAACAGTATTAAAAGACAAATAGTGATTACTTTTCTGAATTAGTTTGCTCACTTGAAGAGCAGAGCTGCCTTAATTGAAGGGCATGAAATATCTCTCTGTCTCTATATACACTGTCATCTTATTTCTCCCTGGAGAAGAATATGAGAATAAAGAGGAAGGTAGGGTACATGAAATACAATCTTGAGAATACTAAACTGATTATACTAAAGAACAGAAAAGTCTCTCTCATTTCTTTAGATCTTGGATGGTGAAAGGAAAGGATTTGTGTTGTTACTGCCTCATGTTTTCCCTTGTTGTTGATATGTAAATACTCTCTTAACGGATATTGCATTTTACTTTTTTTACAAATCGGTATGTAAATTTGAAATTAATGTAGTGTATTTCAGAGACTGTAGATATGAAATGGTTTTTCTTGGTACATCATAAAATGGTTTTTCATGATGTTGAACTATTGCATATTGTTCAAAATTTCTTCCTGGTTTCTTCACTTGGAAGTGGAATTTCTCTATCTTATAAATTTATAGCCTCTTCAGTTATGAAATAAAGTCAAACTTACAGGACTCTGAGTGCAGCTTACAGGTTTATACATGCAGATCTTTATAAAGAGTTTTCTATACTTATGGTAAATCCCATAGATTTATAATCTCTCATTATGGTGATTAAAAGTACTAAAAAAATAGTACTTTTGCATCTCCCAAATACTTACTGTGTTCCTGTACTGTGTATTCTGTTTGGTACTGTAACACTAGAGTCATCAGAAAAACTTCCTGATCGGTGGTAGCTTGCCTAGGAAGAGCAGAAACTACTGTCTCCCACTCTTTGCTTTTCATAAAATCTTGTCTTTATAAGAAAAATGAAAGCTCAGACAGAAGTTTCTCTCTAAGCAGGTGCAGTAAGGTGACTAAGTATATTACTTTTTATATTTCAAATGTTGGCAAATGCCCATTAATTTCAGGAGATCACTGCCATGTTGGAATACTATGGCTTATTTAAGAGCCTTTTGTTACTGAATTATTCTTCTAGCTCTTCAGTATATCAAGAGTTTCTTTGTAAAAGAAGTAAAATCAATGCACGTAAAATGAAGTAAAATGCATGTAAAAGAAGTAAAATCAGTGCAGTACACAATAGTTAAGGGCAATGAATATTTAGTTAAAAAAGTGGAATGCTGTGCAATCACTATACACAGATGATAGTTACTTCGGTTTGTTTTGTTCTGTTTGTTAGTTTTCATGTAACCCTCTGTTTACAACTCTTGCTATTAGAAATGGTTGAAATCAGTTGGCTTTCTATTCTAGTTCTGCCTTTCAAAGTTTTCTGTTGTTTATTAAGGAAAAAGTGTTAATACATGTTCAGAAATTCCTGTCCTATGCAGAGAGCACATTGTCTGCAAATATGGAACATTCTTAGGAGAATGAGTCAAAATATTACTTCATTATTGTTTAGCCTGAAGAAGAAGAGGAGGCTCAGGGGAGACCTCATCCCTCTCTACAACTATTTGAAAGGAGGTTGTAGCCAGGTGGGGGTTGGTCTCTTCTCCCAGGCAGCTATCAGTAAGACAAGAGGGCATTGTCTTAAGCTCTGCCAGGGAAGGTTTAGGTTAGATATTAGGAATAAATTCTTTACAGAGGGGATAATCAGGCATTGGAATGGGCTGCCCAGGGAGGTGGTGGATTCACCATCCCTGGAGGTTTTTAAGATGAGACTGGATGTGGCACTTAGTGCCATGGTCTAGTAACCACGGCAGTGTTGGATCAAGGGTTGGACTTGATAATCTCAGATGTCCTTTCCAACCTGGCTGATTCTGTGATTCTGTGATTATTTCAAAATATCTTATGATTCTGGATTTTTAAATATGTTTGAGCAATAAAATTTAAACTGTAATATAATGTATACCTAATTGATGTGAGTGGTTTTGGAACACAATCCCATACTTAATACTGAAATAGAAAATAAGAGTATATGAAGTAACGTCCTTTAATTTCTTTGTAGTTGCATAGGAGAAGGGAAAGGAGACTGTGTACAAAGGGAATTATGCTTATGGTTTATCTCAGCTGGCAAGAATTTTTTTTCCTCATGAGTTTCTGGCTTTATTTTTTATGCTTTTCCCCCCTTCACTGCAGCTTCCATTATATTATTTTGTTCATTTAAGTATTTTCTACTAAATGCAATTAACAGCTAATGCCACTTTTGTGTGAAAATTGCATGGCAAAGTTAATGTAATGGATTTTAATACTAAAATCTTTTTTAAGACGATGAACATAAAATACAAACTCTTTCAATAGAAAGGTCTATTGTGATGATAGGCATTCTCAGATTATACTTCTGTATCTGATCCAATCATGGCCTTTAATTTTTTTTCTTCTAATATTTAAGCGTGCTGATGATATTTCAAGTTCACTGTCAGATACTACACTACTTGTACACTTTTTCGGTAAAAAAGGAAAAGCTGAACTGAACTTTGAAGATTTTTATAGGTGAGTATTAATTCCCTGTAAAAAAAATTTGCATTGTTCTTCTAATTAATGTGGCTTATATTACTATAGACATAGCTTATGCAGGCACATCTATAAGGTTTATGTTCCCTTTGTGTGTGTTATATATAAGAAGAGCAAAATAAAACAATAATTGGTCCAATAAAACAATAAAAAATCATCTTCTAATGCTGCTACGTTTGCAAATTTTGTTAGCACTTGTGTGCATAATTAGTTTGGAGTGGAGAGGTTATACCCCCAGCCCTGTCCTTATGGATATGTAGGAACTTTTTTTCTTGGTTTTGATTTATTTTTTATGCAAAGATTTTCTGAAGATACCATGCAGGCACCTTAGATCAAACTTCTTTGGGTAGAAGTGAAAACACAGTGGAAGCTATTGACTTAGTTATTATACCAGTAAAAGTAGAATTTAAAAATTTAAAAATAGAGTGCCATCAAAACAGAACCATAAAACTGTGTGCTTCTGGATAATTGAAACAGATACAGTGTTTGGTTATTGCTCCTTCAGTAAATGCTCTCAATACCTATTGTCTTTATAGTTATCACTTAGCTATGTATTCCAGTCAATTTTTATTTTTCAAAATATTTTGCCTTAAATGAAGAGTCATGAAAAGTATTCAGTATTTCACAGAATATTAAAACTGTATCATTAAGTCAAATCATGATGTGAGTTCAAAATAAAAAGCAGAAAAGGTAATTTTTCAAAAGGCTAAAACGTTAAAATGCTACAGGTTTTGTTTGACAGTCAGATGAACGTGAGCTCCCAGTGAGTGCACTACTGTGACCAGAGAGGTAATTTCCCCCTTCATTGTATGACTAGGACATCAGACAGAATCAGGGAAGTTACATTTCCTTTTTGTAGGCAGCTGGTTTTATATTTGGTATCCAGTTTTGGTGTCCGGATTATACTAAATAGGTTGTTAAGATGGGAAGAGTTTATAGAAATATCATGAGAATAGTAAAGTCTTTAATAAAAACAAATAAAAAAAGGTTAGATTTAAAGGCTGCAAGATCTCATCATACTTGGCTTGCTAAAAAGAGAAAGGCAAGGTTAAATTGCAAGCTGTAAGTAACAACACGGGGAACATATGTTGGGAATTAATTTAGTACCATGATGGAATTTTGACTTTAACATATACAAATAAAGATCAGTGACCCACTGAAGAAGAAAATCAGACAAATAGAAACTAGAATTAAATTAAAAATGTAAGTATTAACTAATTTTAATCCTTACTAACATTTCATCGTTGTGTTAAGATCATCGTATTGATTAGAAAATACGTTGACATAGATAAGAGATTTACCATCAGTGCTGCAAAAGGAGAACTAATTTATGTAGTGTTACTTGGTTCATATTCTACCAGTCTTTTAAGAACATGAACAATAGAAATAGAAATTATGACTCTTCTTCATGTTTGTTTGTGCTTCAGATTTATGGATAACCTACAAACTGAGGTTCTAGAGATAGAATTCCTTTCCTACTCTAATGGGATGAACACAATCAGTGAGGAAGACTTTGCCCATATTCTTTTGAGGTATACAAATGTGGAAAATACATCAAGTTACTTGGAAAACATGCGCTGCAGTATTCCTGAAGAAAAGGTGGGTTAGCAGTGGGCCACAGCATGCAGTCCCATTGTCACTAAGATAAAAACATCTTCTTGGACTGAATGAGATTCTGTCACTGAATTACTTAGTTCCAGGATTTTATACTGATTCTAAGATGTGTGTCTGGTTTTTCAGATTACGTGCTGAATAAAAAATAACATGAATAAAAATAGCATAGAATTGTGTTCTATAGGATTTAGCTAGTAATATTTTTGAAGTTTACATAAAACATAAAAATATAGTTTAAATAACAAAAACCATACAACTTTAAAGAACAGTTTTCTAGCAATGAAGTATTTAAAAAACCCTTTCTTTCTTACTACTTCTTTTTTGCACTACCACTGGAGTAGCACCTCTTCAGAAATAACACTGACACCTTTTATCTTATTGTTTTATAGTCTTAATAATGGATCATTTGTGTATAAATATTGTTGTTATGTGGTTTATATTAGTGACTGAAGAGACAGAAATGATAATATAAACAGTAACAGACATGAGGTAGATAGTCCTTCATTTGTTTAACAACAAATGTGTCATCAGAAGTGTGTCTGATAAGAAATGTAGTAACCCTGCATCAGTGATAACAAATAGGATAATGTTAAAAGTAGCCCTTTAAATAAGGACTGTCTGGGTATATTCTGTTTGTGTTTACAGAAAAAGATCAGATTCCTCTGTCCTAGAAATCTAACTCTTCAATAGCTATATACTTTAATGGCATTGACAGCAGAGCTCATGAGGAAAAGTAATAAATAGGTTTGGACAGGTTTTTTTGGTTTTGTCAATTTGAGAAATGAAATTGTAATTTCAGTCTTCACAGTAAGAACAGACAACTGACCTGAAAGAAGCACACTCAAGAATCAACAGTTTTCTGTTCAGATATCTGGATTATCTGACTCTTCCTGTGGTTGTACAGCAGTTAGGGCCACTGAGAGATAAATACAGGTGGGGAATGAAAGGGAGAAGCAGGGTTGTCTCTTTTGACCAGATTAGGCATAAAATGCAGTGGTAAGATTGGTGTCTGTTCCTGCTTAGTGACCCTTTCTGAGTTCCTGGTCTAGCCGCTGAGGTGTTCAGTTCTACCTACCATAAAAGGTAGTATTCAGAGCCAAGATACTGCAACAGAACTGCTAAAAAGCTTTTTCTGTGTGGTTCCGAGACAGAAATGTGAAAAAAAAAAAACAAAACCACATCACTCTGGGGCTTGTATAGCAACAATAATACAAGTATCACTTGGAAAGCTGAAAAATAATGACAGTTGTAGGTATAGAGAAATATTTTGAATGGCAAAGGTGAAGTTAAGTAAATACAAGTACAGACACTTTCTTTCGAACACAAGGAAGTATTCTTTGAAGGTTTTCTAAATCTTACAATGTCACTGTTCTGATAGCAAGTATTCCACAGTAGTTTCCTCTTCTTGACTTCTGGTGGGGCCATTAGTTAAGGAAAACTTCCATGTAGTCACTAATTCACAGGTTTACTTATGCTGCATTCTGGGAATATCCTGGCACAAGATCAGTGCCATATATCCGTATGTCATATGCTATACCTCCATTAGGTGAAACAAGACACTGCTGTTTTTCATAGCTTTGTATCACTGGCTCAGTAAATGTGCTGTTAGTACAGTGAAAAAAGTAAATCCCTGTGGCATCTCTTATGCTGGCCACATTCTCATTTTGAGAATGGATTTTGCCTCTTATTGCCGTGGAGGCGCTGTTCATGTGTTTGTACTTTCTTATACTTGTAATAACATTATAATTTAAAAATTATAAAATGTGCTCTCTGTGTTATTACAGTGATATGCTGCAATACTAATACTAACCAGAGGATTCCATTTAGAAGAAAAATTAGTTGAGTCTGTAAAGTAATAGGCAGCTACTCTCTCAGTTAGCGATGTTAATCTTTCAGGGCCCTGTATGAAGAAGCTCCTAAAGCAACACGATGATCATTTGCCATATTGTAGACACATTAAAATATTCAGCTGGCATGCTGCCTGCTCTCAAGATGCTTTCCTCCTTTTACTAACTAGATGCGAAGCAGCGATTAATTTAAGCTGGCATCTTGAATTACTACAGATATCAGCTCCTGAAGAAAGGCTATGTATTTTTAGCAGCACTGGTGTGTTAATATGAGTTCTCCTTGCTGTAGTAATATATAATCTGTCCATTTAAATAAAAAGTTAGCTTCCTTTTTGTCATGGTTTAACCCCAGCCAGCAACCAAACCCCACGCAACTGCTCGCTCACTCCCCCACCAGCACGACCGGGGAGAGAATTGGAAGGGTAAACCCGAGAAAACTTGTGGGTTGAGATAGAGACAGTTTAATAGGAAAAGCAAAATCATGCATGCAAACAAAGCAAAACAAGGAATTCACTGCTTCCCATGGGTAGGCAGGTGTTCAGCCATCCCCAGGAGAGCACAGCCCCATCACACATAATGGTTACTTGGGAAGGCGAATGCCATCACTGCAAATGTCCCCCACTTCCTCCTCCTTCCCCCTACTTTATATACTGAGCTTGATATCATATGGTATGGAATATTCCTTTGGTTAGTTGGGGTCACTTGTCCCAGCTGTGTCTCCTCCTAACTTTCCCTCCTCGCCAGTGTGGCAGTGTGAAAAAGGCCTTGGCTCTGTGTAAGCACTGCTCAGCAATAATAAAAACATCTCTATATTATCATCACAGTGTTCAGCACAAATCCAAAACACAGCCCCACTCTAGTTGTTGTGAAGAAAATTAACTCAGCCCTAGGCAAAACTAGCACATTTTTACATAGAAAATAAACATTTTTCAGTATGAAAGTTCTGGAACGCTTACACAAAGATAACATCCTGTGTGAAAATACAAAATGTGTGGCAAATATGAAACGTTATTACAAGTACCAGTTGAACAAAACAGGGTAGTAGAAAAGGGGAGAGATAGTAGAATGCTGCATGCCCAGCTGTCTGGGTGTCATTTTGCCTGACCTTCTGTTTCTCTTGTGTCCTTTGCTGTTTTTCCTTGAGAGGAAGTAAGCATTTATGATTGCACATTATTTCAGCAGAACTTGTACAACTCCTAAATGAAGCAAGATATTTTCCTCATTGCTAGAATGTTGTGGAGTATGTACAGGTTAGCCATGGACTGCATGTTTGGCTCCTTTATCTCACTGTTCCATCTCCAGTGTCAACTCATGGCAGCAGTTTTGACCACAAGGGGAAACACAGAAGCTGCAAAAAGGCTTGTTTGTAGGAATTTCACAAATACGTGACAAAAGTATTCCAGTCCCAGAGAGTTTTCAGTCTAAACACAGTGCAAGAAATGGAACTTGGACACATAAACTATTACTGTCAAGTGCAATGAAACAAAAACCAGTATTGGTAGTAGTAAATTCAGTTTATAAGATAAAAATTTAAATGAGAATAAGGAGGTGGTTCTGCTTGTGTCTAAGAGAGTTTCCTCCCAGTTGCAAAGGATGAAACAGAGAACAGATATGCTTGTTGAGAAAAGCAATTCATGGTGGAGATGGGTCAAGCTCTCCAAACAGTTTTTAAACCTTTTCTGGAATTTAGGTAGGATCACTTAAGCAGGGATTTACATCTCAACTGTGTGGAGGCCTATAAAAGTCTTTTATTATAACAATATTATGTTGCTATCCACATTTTCCACAGTACTTGCTGTCTTATATGGGTTTACACCCAAACACTGCCATCTGCTCTGCCACAAACCTACTTTAGTATGTTTTCTGTGTTCCACCATACCATAATGACTATGTATGTATTTGAGGAGAGACACAGGTCAATATTTTAATTTGAACAGAAAGGCTCACAGGTCTTTCAGTTGTCTTCAGGTTTATTTTCAGAGGCAAGTACTTAAATAGGATAAAAGGATAAAAGCAAACAGAAAAATAGCCAGAAATAACAGTTAAAGGAGTCCGTGGAGATCAAGGTTTGACAAGGAATGCCAACCCATGTTCAGAATGGCTGAGACTAAGGGGATTCAGATATAGGCTTAATTCAAAGTCTTAGTTTAAAATCTCTTTCAAAATTGATTTAGAGATAGTTTATCAGGTCTTTGGATTTGTAGCTGAGAGAAGAGCAGAACAAGTATAAGGAAAGAAGATAAAGTAAGCTCTTTTAACAATGTTTTCAGTGAAACTTTCAAAGAACATATTCTGAAGTCTGGTCAAAATGCAAAGGATTTTTTTAAAAAGCTGAACAAACTACAGTACTTGATTCTTGGAGTATCAGCTGAAGAGACTTGCGTGTTTAAATCTGGATCTGTAAAAAAATTCACCCTAAAGTACAGACTTAAGGTAGATCATAATACGTATTTGTGATTTCATTCAGTGTATTTATGTGAGCACATGCACTCACATATATGTAACAGTGGTTTGCAGGTTTTCAGTAGTAAACATACTCCAATATTGATACAAACCTAGACTTTGTCAGTATTAAGTGTTGTGTCATAATAAATCCCGTAATTCTTAAAAACTGCCACGAGCAATGGAACAGTATTTTCAGCTGCTCTGGTGAGAATTGCTGTCCATTGCAGTTGCAAAGAGGAAAGACTCCAATTCTTTACTTCATTGACTTTTACTAGAAATCTCTCTCTTTTTTTTTTAAAAAGGTATATCTGTTCGTAGATGAAGTAGACAAATATAACTGCAAGGTTTGTTTATTTAGTTGTTTCTACTACTGATAATTCTTATGGTGCATGTTGTTCTTCTGTTTTTTAGGGTATCACCTTTGATGAATTTAGATCATTTTTCCAGTTCTTGAACAATCTAGAAGACTTTACAATTGCAATGCAAATGTATAATTTTGCAAGTCGTTCCATAGGTCAAGGTAATTATTTAAATTTTTAAAAAAATCTCTTGGTAACAATATAGAACTGCTGACAAAAATGCAAAAATGTTTTGTTGTTCTTAGTTTGTACTCTTAATGTCTCCAGTAATAGGCTAAAAAGGACTCCAGCTTTGAGAGGAGAAGGTTCGGTCATATCATAAGAGATATTTTGCCAAGTCATATAAGTGGTGGATAAGCTGAATGCAGAATACTTGTTCACCAAATCCTACAATACAAGAATTGAGGCACTTGATGACACTAGTAAGAGATCAGATTAAAGCAAACAGAAGCATTCCCTTACACAGTGAGCATCTGGAATCTGGTTTCTACAAAGGGTGCAGAAGGAAACAGTGTCAGAAGGTCTGAAGAGGGATTAGATTTTTTAAGAAATCAGTAAGTGGCTGCTAAAAGAACTAGGCATGTATGTACTGACTAAACTCCTTAATAAAATAGTTGTGATGCTTGGGGAGTGCAAGGTGAACAGTATGTGGTCAGACTTGTGTGCTCTCCTCAAGTAGCCTCTTCATGAGTCTGACACAGTAACACCAGCATAGTCCTACCTCATGTGTCCTTTCCAAAAGATTATATCATTTTCTCTGTTTTGTATTCCCTGGGTTCTGTTTTGTGTCAAATAAATAAATGCCATATATGTGACATAGATTTTATTACAATATGCTCTTCTATTTTTGTTATTGCACGTAGTATAGTACATGAACTGTTATATTTTGTGTAAAATAGTTGATACCAATTAAGCAATGTCATTTTGTATCAGTTTAGAACTACTTGATTTAGAACTGTGAAACTCAATCCCGATTTTCACATTTTCTTGGTTTTTTGGTGTTTAAACGTGAGAACTCAAAAGTTTACTTGTATTTCACAGTATGTTGTCCACAAAATACCATTAACTTAATGGGTTTTTTAATTTTTTTCTGTTGTTCTCCTTACACAGATGAATTCAAACGTGCTGTGTATGTAGCCACAGGTGTGAAGCTTTCACCACATTTGGTGAACACAGTGTTCAAGATTTTTGATGTCGACAGAGATGATCAGCTGAGTTATAAAGAATTTATCGGGATTATGAAAGACAGACTCAATCGAGGGTTTAGGGTAAGGATTCTAATTTTTATATTTACCTTAGTTGACTTTACTACTTACCACTACTTTAGCATCTGTAGCACATGTAGGTTTTAAACCAGCAGTGCATGTGTTTAAAGACATATGTTTTATAGAAATACTGAAACAGTCTGTAAGATAAAAACCTTCCCAAATTCTTGATTTTTTTTTTTTTATTAGAAAGCAATACATAGAGGACATAATGTACCTTTACCAAACCAAATCGTAGATGAGAAATCCTCTGCATACTGTCATTTCTTCCGTATTGTGTGATCAATAGATTAGCATTAAGAATTTTAACAAGGGTAGCAATTATGTCTGGGTTGCCTGCAGAGAAAAGAGAATTTGCCTCTCTCAAGCTCACACAGTTTAGTTAAAGGTCAAACACTGGCTATTCTAAAACATATAAAATAACAAGTGTTGATAATGACAGTTGGAAAGAGTTGCAGCAGAAGATAGTTTTAATTTTCAAATAAAGAATCAGTGAAGTGGAGCTGAACAATGTTGTATTCTAGTTCAGAGTTGCTTTTGATAATTAAACCTTGCATATAATACATTCAATTATATTAAGCTAGAGGGCAGGAAATTACTTGCAGAAAGTTTTCATAGGGAACAATGGTGAATGTGTAGGCCTTGCTGCCCTCTTCAGGTTCGATATAGTGCCAGGGGAATGTTATAGTAGCAGAAAATTTTTTAATTAGGGTATGATCAACAAAAGCCTTTTTTTATATATATGATGGGGTTAACATTTTTAACTAAACATAAAATGGTGTTCTTACTGACAACCTTATCACTTAAGACATAAATCTTAAGCTGCATTATGGTTCTTAGATTCACATTTCAGTATGTTATTTCTGTGATGTAATTTTAGTTATTTTAGTTAACTTCCTAAATATAATGTTAGAACTTTTTGTGAAGTGGTGTTGAGTTTAATAGTTTACTTGTTATTTCTGTAATAATATGATCGAACATAAAATGTGGATAACAACCACTGCATTTGTAACAAACTTATTTCCTTGTTGGTCCTCAGTTCCTTTTATTATGGTGTGGGAATGATGATTGTTTCATAATCGTTTTAAGATGTTTGGCTATATGTTTTAATTGTTTACTAATTGTAAGTGTGCAGTGTATGGTTACTTAACCAGAAAATGGTCTGCTTACTAAGTAATTTTAGTATTACATGTTTCTATTTCACGAAAAGCATGACAGAAATCACATATAATCCTAAAAAATCTGTATCATCCAGCACTATTCTGTCTCATGTATGTATCTTTCTTTTCCCTAGACCTCCATAAAATATTCCCATGGACTGTAAAAGAACTATAAAGAATAGCCAAGGACATTCAGAAGAATAACACAGTCTTTCATAAATTACATGTCTAATTTTAATAAGATACTAAATACCTCCCAGATTGCATAGGAGATGATCATGATTTGGTCCTCTAATTATGTTAAATGCATTCTCTTTATTAATCAGTAGTATTCCAAGACAATTACAGTACCAAACCGAGGAATTACAATTTCCAGTAAGTTTTCTCAAGTGTCACACAAACCTGATTTTTCCAAGAGTAGGTAGTAGTAAAAATTCTGCAGAAATTTGCTTTTTCAGTTTAATAAACACCTGCTACCCACTCCTGTCTTGGTTTAGAATGAAAAGTAGAAAACACGTAAGAACCTTTTTCACAGAACAAATTGGTGGAAGGTCATTGATTGCTTCCTGTTGTTTGTACATTAAAAGTGAAACAGTATTTAGTGTGTCCATAACAAGTAAAAATTTGTCCTCTTGCTCCTGCAGTGTGGAGGCACAAATGTTGTCTTGGTGCTAAATCAAAACTAATAAATCACTAACCTCTTCTTTGTCAATAACTGTGTTTTCCATCTGTATGAAGATTCGGTCAGTTCCATTATACAGATAAAAGATCATAACAGCTTCTGCTTATGCAGTATTTTGTAGCAGCATAGAAATCTTTGCCATGAGAAATATGAAGCTGTTTACGAAGGTCAAATGCCCAATTTTAATGTAAAGTATCCCACAATTAATGTCTATCCAAATCAGTGTAGTGTCTGATTATCACTCTAAAAACGTCCAAAAATTACAGTTTCAGCTAGGCCTACGATTTGAAGTATGATTTTACAATTAACATCTTATACTTAGCAATTCAACATTTTAAAAAGTTGTTTTGCTAAAATATTTGCCCAGAATCTTGAGGGCATAACAGAGTTTGGTACCAGGACCATATATTTTAGAAAAGAGCATTTTGTGGTTATGTAGTCAGACTAAAGCAAACATATTAAAGAGCAAAGAGTTACACAAGTCCAATGAAAATGGAGCTCTGAAACATCAGTCAGAACCTACCAAGTTTGATGTATTTAAAAGCTTAGCCATGGCACTACAAACTTGAGGAGGATCAAGTGCTACTTCTTATAGGAACATAATAAATTTGCATTTTAATATAAATTGAAATACGTTTTTGGAAAAGTAAACATCTTAAAGAGTTTATCAAATGACATTTCTCTCTTTCTGCAATTTAGTAGCATAACCCGAAACCTCGTTTTGGTTTTAGTAGTTTGAAACCAATTCATATGTTAAGCTGCCATCAGGTGGTCATTCAGAGTACTGCCGTAAACTTACTAAAATGTACAGACATGAAAAACTTTATTTTTGCTTAATATTTAATTAAATTAGTTATTTCCTTTTTTTTATTATTAATTTAAAAATATATAAGAATATTCCCTTTCCTTTATAAATTCCATTTTTAAACTGAAAGACTTGGAACTTAATGACTAAATGATAAATGTTCTGCATAACACATACTGTACTGTATTTCCTAGCTCTTTGTCACTTAAAGCCATTTTTTTGTATTTTCATGATACCGTTGTCTTATGCTTACCTCTGGCTGCCTTCACATGTTGTCTGCATCTGCGCACTTCTCCATCTTCTGCTCCACAGGGCTACAAACCTATACAGAGGTATACTACTTTCAAATCCTGCGTGAGGAAGGAACTCTATAGCAGATAAATGACGGTATGTGTTAGCCACCCAATCTGAGTGTGCTGGCATGCTTGCAAGAATGGCTGAATGTTTAGCTGTCACTGCTTTGTTTCCCGTTCAAAAACTCTGGAAAAGGTTATCTGACTGCAAGCAGTGTGGTAGCTCAAAGCATTACGTTGTGTTTTTGAATGAAGCAATAGAATTTTATGCTGGAGTTGGTAATGACTGACTCACACTGTCACTGTTTTGTAAGCCAGCTCCAATTTTGTACTGTGTTTGAAATTAGTATTCTTTCATAGTTTCTGTTGCTGTTTTCTGTCTGTCCTGTTACTTCTTTTCAAGTAATTTCCCAGGTACCTAAAGTTAATAAGGATTTATCAATGAAGATTGTAGAGGTAGATTTTTCTGACTGTTAGTAACTTGGTTCTACTTCAATTTATACTGTTAGACTTTTGAAAGCAATAATCATTTTTGGCTTGATTAATGCTATACCAGCAATTTTCAAAAATCAGCACTGTGTCCACACACAATCACCATGACTGTTTCCATGTATGCACTACATGAATGTCCATTCTTACAATTAGATTGTGCTGTGGGTTTCAGTGTAAAAACTGGGGTGTGCATATTCTGTAGCCAAATCGTGAAACAGTTTGTCACGCAGTGGACACAGCAGACACTGTGTGTTAGTAGACATTTCCCTTCTTACATAAAGCAAAAGTTTTTTTCTTTAAATCACAAAGTTTTTTCCTATTTACATTTAAAGAGTTTGCAGTTGTTGCTATGAAGGCTGTTAGCTCTCAGATGTATTATTTTACAGAGGGGAGGAACAAAGAGATGTACACCATGACAAACAAGGCCCCATGGTCGGTGGTTGGGTGTCAGTGGACCCTGTGCAGTAGCCAGCACATCTCGTGTGCTTCTGAGCCAGGAGGGTTTGACTGTCATTCCCCTGCTGTTTTTAATTCTGAGGTGTAATATTAAGCTTTTATGTTCAATAACCATCTTCAGATGGCTCCATATATTATCATATCGGCCTCTGACCTTCTGAATCCTATCCTTTTCTGTCATATGCCTCTCTGACCACTTGTATGCCACTCAGTGTGCTGGGCCTCTGGTGTCCATCTTTCTTCCCTAACTCTGAGATAGCATGTCATGAAAGCAAAGCGTCTTGGATCCTGTTTATCTGGGTTGATGGCTGGCTTCCAGCAACAGTGTAAAATCTAAGTGTTTAAGGATGAGAGGTGGGGTCTGTTTACCCAGACTGGTAGCCCATCAGCTCTCCAGTCCCAGTAGTGTTTTTCCTTTGTAGACCCCCGTGCAAGATAGATAAGGGAGGGGAAATACATCCAAACTATTGACCTTTCCTGTGGCACGACATGTCATGTATCATGAACCGTGTTCTTTGGAACTTTTCAGACCATTTTTTTTCAGTGAAGTGTGTCACATCTTTTGAACAGGCCGTTTCTCTGAAATTCAGCAGTAGAGATGGCTTGGGGTATGTCCAGGCTTACAGAGACGGTTTGTCCTCCTAGAAAGAAGATGAGTTCTGTTTGATTTGTATATGTTCTTGTACATGTAACATTCAGCATCCATAAAATTATTTTATTATTATTATTTTGATTATCTGTTAACACTTTTAAAATTATACTTCCTTTTGATATAACCCAAATACTGAAGCATTTGTACTAATATGTGAGGGGCAGAACAGGAAATTTGATCTTAATAAAAAAAGCATCTGGTTTCTCCACCTTATTAATGGGAAGTGTAAATGACTAATGAAATAGTTGAAACAATATTTTAGTAATCCAAGTTGCCAGTCATATGAGAGGAAGGTCATGGCTTTAAATTAATTTTATGTAAATTAAAGATCATATCTTTGAAACTTTTGACTCTCAAAGCTTCTTTCCTTCTTTTCCCATGTATTTTTAAAAATGGGTTTTAGTAGTACTTTTTGTCTTTTTGACAAAACCGATATTGCAGTTGCATGTCACGTATTGTTTAATCTGTAAACTTTTCAAGATACGGAACAGCTCTTACAGGAAACTGGCAAAATGCTATACAGTCATGATGCATGCCTAATAATAGCAGTGAAGGGTATGTGACCCAGTGGAAAAAAAGGCAGTGACGCAAAGGAATCCAGTACCTAATCATCAAACCTAATAAAATTAATCTTGGTGACTGAAAGGTTGTAAAAGCATCAAGTTTACATACACCAATACTTTATAAGATCTGAATTCAGGCAATAAATCCATAGGCTGAGATGATGTAAACTGGGGAAAAAATATACAGTGGAGAAAGGGAGATGTTATTCAGTCTGTATAAAGTCATTCTCAAGAAAAAATTTAAAGTTGAATAATAGTATGTCTACACTACACACTGAGAGACAGAGAAACCAAGTTAGTTCTCAGGGCATGGACTTGGTTAAAGGCAGCCTCACTGACATAGTGTAGAAGCCTCTGGTTATTTACCCTGCTCTTCTTCCCAGCTGGAGCGTCTGGATGCTATTAATGAAAATTCTTCTTGTACCCAAGCTTTCTTGAAAACGTCTGTATCAAATATTTGTTGCCTGTGCACTGAAGAATGCAGTGTAAGCCTTATATTTATAAAATTCCCTGTTTCCTGCTTACACATTAGTTTGGTACTGCTCTTCACTTGAGCAACTCCTTCTTGTCTCATCATGAGTTAAAATCATAGAATCACAGAATTGTTAAGGTCAGAAAAGACCTCTGAGATTATCAAGTCCAGCCGTTACAGTGACATAACCAATTGTTGGCTGTTCAGAGTTCCTTTTTGTGCGAAACATTCCACAACTCTTTTAGATTTTTTGTAAACTTTTACTAAAGTTGTTGCAAGTGCCAGTTAATGGAAATGGAAGCCTTAGCCAAAGCATGTGAAGTGATTTGGCAAAAGTTACCATGGAGAACAGAGATAGTTCTGTCTTTGCCATACATTGTGGAGTGAAAGTGGATTTACATAACTCTAAAAATTATTATTTTCCATTTAGTTTATAAATAATAAAGATGGAATCATTGGAGATTTGAAATTGAACAGTTTCAGTGGTTAATTTAATTTCAGTCTGATGTACAAAGAAGCACATAAATATACATGAAATACAAAAATCGTCTGCAACTACATCCCAAAGTTAGATGCAGTACAACTACTATTAATTTTACCTCGTTCTAAATATAAAAGTACAGATCATTGTGCTTTGATATACTTCCTATGGTAAATGTAGAACTCTGATGAAGGAGATTAAGATACTTGGCACACACACTACAGATTATACCCTACTTTGAATCTACACCTTGAAAAGGGATAAAGCACATTCTGCTGTACTTTAAAATGCACTAATGCCATTTACTCCACATTGTAAAGAATGTTGCACCCTTATAATAAATAATGATAGTCTCTCCTTGGGAAACCTGTAACAAGCTGTGTGTGGTCCCTGCAGGGCAAAGAGCCTGACACAGCATTGGCAGGTACTCCTTTGCATACACCGCAGGGAGAACTGAAAAAAACATGTTAGGAGAGAGCTGCCTAACAGAGCATAGAGGAGAACTCTGCTTCGAATCTTACAGAAGGATATAAAGGAAATTTCTAACAAAGCCCTTTCAAAGTTAATTTCTGAAAAGGGATGCTAGAAGCCAATTTAAGAAGGGATTCAAGTCCATATAAAAGTACTGTTTGCCAAACTATTTGCATGGTCAGTAGCTGTGATAGATATTTAAGCCAAATTCTGATTTTATTGACTTCTAAAGTATTGAAAGTAACTATTACGTGTCACAGATGTAAATCTAGAAATTAAGTTCTATATACCAGTAATTTCCTGAGAATCTTAAGACATTTTGCTTTAAAAGAACTGATTTCTAGATGTTCTGAATGTTGTGGGGTTTCAAAATTTCTAATTTAAGGTTTTTAGGAAGTAATAGTTAATAGCTGAAAATAGTGCCTTGGGACTGACCAAGGAAGGAAATTTCATTTTGAGAAAGCCACGAAAGACTGAAGCATGGATTCAGAATCTCATTTCTAGCTATGTTTCAACTATAAATTGTTATCTTCTGTAAACACTTCATTCTGTCAAGTGAGATTAAATTTGTCATGTAGCTAATATTTTTAAAGCTTTTAATTTCTATACTATCCTAGTACATAGCAGTTGAATATATCTGTTGTAAGATTAAAAAAAACTAAAAGATATTGTTGTTTACTACTTGAAGAGACTTTTGCTTACCTCTTCTCTACAGTAGAGAAAGTGAGAAGCGTGTGCTAAGACACACCTTACTGACTTATGTTACAAAAGTAATTGAAGGTTACAGAACCTGGGCTTTTGAGTCTAAACCTGACTAGAAAAACATACCTGGATACAGTGGGAGGAGAATGTTCCAGTGAAATATGAAAGCACTGCGGAGTATGTGAACAAAATGTTTTTTCTGTGGATTTGGTACACTCAGGGTAGGTGCATACATTAGAAATGACACTGTTCATCTAAACAGTCAGTGTATTTCAGCATTTCTTTTAATGACTTTCATGAACATTTCTCTGAACTTGTTTCATAAAATAAAAAATGTGTACCTTAAAGCACGAGTTAATCAACTGAACGTGCTTTTGTTAAATAATGCAGTGCAATTTACAAGTAATGCATTTTTTCATGAGATTGACTATAAATTTCAACTATAAATTATGCATTCATGTAAGTATTGTTTCTAATATTTCATTTAAAGTCTGGATTATATACTACTGTGGATTAGATTGTTTTCTGAATATTTACAACTTCTCTATAAAATTCCATGTTTTTTAATTAAAAAAGATGAGTGAGAAGAATAAATGGATATAGGCTTCACTGTCTAATGGTTGATTTTAATGTACTGCAATGTTGCAATATTTTTAACAGCTTCACTCGTTTCAACCAAAACAAGGTATTGGACAATCTCTAATCTTGTGTCATGGTTTTGGCTAAGAGACAGTTAATTTTCTTCTTAGTACCTGGTACTGTGCTGTGTTTTGAATTCAGGATGAGAATAATGTCAGTGACACAGTTATGATGTAGTTGCTACTGAGCAGTGCTTACACTAAGTCAAGGACTTCTCAGCTTTTCCTGGGGTCCTCTACACCCCAGTGAGGAGGCTGGGGGTGCACAGGGAGTTGGAACAGCTGACCCCAACTGGCCTAAGGGATATTCCATACCAAGTGGTGTCATGCTCAGCAAATAAACTGGGAGGAAAGCTGGGTGGGGGCTGCTGCTCAGGAACTGGATGGGCATTGGTTAGTGGTGAGCAATTGCTTTGTGCGTCACTTGTTTCATATATTTGAATTCTTTTTTCCCTGTTCTGTTAAACTGTCTTTATCTTAGCCCATGAATTTTAGGGGGTTGTTTTTTTTTTTTTTCTGATTTTCTCTCCAGAGTGGGGGGAGTGATGTTCAGCTGCTTACCCAGTTAAACCGTGACACCTTGATACTGTAACCACTTGCCTCCAGATACTGTACTTAAATTGTAAATCATCTTAGAAATTAAAATTACTTGTAAATGTTTTTTACTTCCCTATAGCAATTATAATTCCTGTTTCTCCCTTAGCTTCTTTCCCCAGTTGCTCTAATACTTAGTACCTCTCCATCTTTCTACACCTGCTTTCAAAATAGGCTTGTGAAGTTAGGAACAGTGGAAGAAATAATAAGATCCAGTGATACTTACAGATAGCATAGAGTCTAGTGAACCTCCCAGGCCAGCCCTTGGCCAGTATTCTTCTCCATTCAATGGGCACTTATTCATGTTGCTGAACTACAGTGCACTTTAGGATTAAGGTAACCTAGTATAGAGAAGCTTTCATGTCATCTGCCTATATTGTATTTAGCTTTTCCTGATGCCTCCGTTTAATGAACATTAGTAATTTTCTGTGCTTTTTGTTTGGTGTCATAAGTGAACTTTTTAGTACAGTGTCAACACAAGCAAGAAACAAAACTAGAGAGGGAACAGGACATACCTGAATAAAGAGCAAATCCTTTCCTGCAGCTTTTAATATAAATAGGCTATGTGTTGAATGCTAACTGTGTGCTGTGAGGTGAGGATGCATTTTGAATACTGAACCTGTGTATGGATTTATAACCCTCATTTTACAGAAGTAAATTTGATCTTTCATTATTTTAATATTAAAACATCTATCTAGTGTGTATGAATCTGAGTAAAATATAATGTAGAATTAAAGAATTTAGTGAATGATATCTTTTTTTCAATTGTATGTTTTTCACTTTTCACAGGAGACTCCAAGGTATGGTTGGAAGGAATATTACTCTTGTGTGATGACTGTAACCAGTGAACATCTCAGAGATCTGTGGAAGCAATTTCGGAGACAAGATATGCTGAGATAAAGGAAGGAAGAAGAATTATCTGCACTGGCTAGAAATATTTATTCCTATGAATTCCTAATGAAGAACAAACTAACCCAGGTGAATTGTGAATCTTCCAGCTGCAGCAGAAAATACAGGACTTCTTTTCCACTTAGTGTAGTGATCACCAACTCTTAAAACTGCTTTTCAGTATGTATTTTATTTAAACGATGAACTATTACCTGAGTGGCAGAAGTCTTTTTTTAAGAACATCTTTTGAATATTATTTTTTTATTATTTTGAGATAAGTTTGTCATTAAAAAAAAAAGTTTTATGGCTGGGTAGGAAAATGTTTTGGCAATGAAGAGAAACTCCCTCCATCAGCTTAGACTGTGAATTTGCTTTCAGAAGAGCACTATTGAAAGTTTGTGCTAAACTGAAAATGAGAATGCATTAAGTAGCATAACAATTATGTATGAGTTGAATGGACAAATTAAACTCTTAGAAGCTGTAATTTTAAAAAGAGTAAAGCTGTTATGGTTATAATGTGAATGATAGGTATTTACCTAGGAAAAGTACTGTATGAACTATAACGTTCAAATTCTCCAAGTCTTATTATTATGTTTATTAATTTATCCTTTTGAAAAATAGTAGGGATTTTAAGATGTCTTACAAGCAGTATGTCAAAGAAAAGTCAAAATGTTCAAATTCATGTTAAGTAACACACACTTTGTAATATTTATTATAAATTTTATTGCCATACACTGATATGTTTCCAGTAGAGTAAAACTTCTTGTATTTCTTGTGAATAGTGCACTTTTTATGAAGAGGCACTGAGTAGAAATTATGGTTGTCAACTTGCTACTCTGGAATGCAGTATCTGAAAAATAACTCGTGTTTGTGTCAAACAAAAGAGCAAAACAAAACATGAATGCATGCAGCAGTACAGAAAAACACTCATTAAGTGATATTATTTGAATATCACACATGAAACATCAGACATAAATTAGGCTGTATAAAGGTTATAGAGAATACAGGCCATCGGTAGCCGCTACAACCTGTCATGCCCTCTAGGTTTAAATGTTACTGAAACAGTGGTATGGACACTGTTATATTTGTTTTTCATATTCTGTAAATTTCTTGTTTTCTATTCAGCAGCAGCATTTTTCCTTACTCCTTTTCAAGATTATTGTCAGGTGGTATGAATTAAGCTCAAACAAAGAAGAACACATATTTTTATACCCTTCTTGAAAAGGTTCCTTGAACATTGAATAAGTCTGTATCTGTCCTGGAACAATCTGTGCCTCGAAATCCTTCTACCTGAGTACATACACACACACACTAAAACAAATGTCAATAAATTGTTATCAGAAAGGCAAATATTTGGTAGTCAGACAATCAAAACAGAACCAAAATAATAGTTTTAAATATCTAGTTACCCCAAATATGTGAAAGCAGACCTTTAAAAATTTTATTCAGTGCACATGTTGCTCAAATAGTATCTTATATCACGTGTGAATAAGTAGCATTTGTGTAAGTGCACCTAAGTTTAGAAATGTTTAATTTATAGCAAGATTCATCTCTGGTAAAAAATCAAAACAAAATAAGAAGTAAGGTTTTTTATTAAGAAATTCCACACTGGGAAGTCTAGAAAAAAGTGTGCTAGGTGTTGGCTAAAAACAAAAAGTCAGTTTAGAAAACTATTGAAGGATGATAGTTGAGTTAATATTTCATGATAAAAACTTGGAAAATTTCAACCTTGGTGTCTTTAAACTACTGACAAGAAAAAAATCAAATAAATTGGGATAAAGGTTCTTGAATTGACACAGCAGAACATAGATAAGCTGCAATCCCTGTGTGATCATGTAGGGAATCACCTGTATTCAGTGTATTGTCTTGGTTGGCAGAACTGTCTCACTGCTTCTTGTCAGCATGTAAAAAACCCAGTTTGCTTCTTCAGTGATGAAGGACAAAAAAAAGGGAAGAAATGACAGGGAGTCATCGAAGGGACTCCCATCTTTCCTTTTCATTCACTACTGCCCACTCACAGTGATCCTTCCCTTGGAGGAAGCAGCAGTACCATCATCATTTTGATCCTCCACTGCCCTAGGCAATAGTGCACTTTGCATTTATGGCTGGCTTGAGACAATTTTGGCATTTTTCTGTGTATTTCATAATTGTAGTCACGTAATATAAACTAGAATGTGAAAGTGTCAGATTAGTTTTTAAGAATATTTTTCCTCATGTTTAATAATGTTATTTAATATAAATATGAATATATACGTATAATATTTCAAAATAAATGCACTTGAAACTAATTTTCTTTGCATTAAAATTCTTTTGTTGTAAAATAATCTTTTTTTTTGGTAACATGAATGTGTAAGCGCTTTGATATAGAGCATCTCACCATCACAACAAAATAGACTTGTTTTTTTCTTTTGGTCATATCTTGTGATAGCTTTGCTTTTCTGCCACAGAATTCTGTATAAAAGGGCTGGAATGCAAGGACAGGTGATAACAAGGCAGGGTAACGGCACATGCCATCTGCTGTAGAGGCACCCCTCGGATAGGCTGCAGTCACTGTGCTCAATAAGTTCATAAGTTATTCAAAATCTGCCAAATTCCTGGCAGCAGAGAAAATGTGTATGCTGCCATGAAACCATGTGAAAAGTTGTGTAAATTAGGGCTTTTTTTAAAACCAGCTCTTGTTCTCCAACGTAAGTTAAGAAAACTGTAATAGTGTAAGTGAATATTTAGAGGATGCTTTAGGAACTGCCCACAGATGCCCAGACCAGCTGGGATAAAATGGGAACTAGTAAACCTGCAGCTTTGGGTAGCTTTGTGATACTAACTCTTGCCTGTTCTGATGAATTCCTAGTTCCTGGAAGAATACCCTGTACTACAAGCTCCTTCCTGTTAATCTTCTGATATTTAAGATTACAGTGCAGTTTCCCTCCTTGCACATTTTGGCAGTAAGTTGATACAAACTACTACCACTGCAGATTGTCGTGTTGTATGACAAAGAAAGCTGTCAGCCTGAAGGAAAAGAAACGCTATTGAACAGTAATTGGCAGAATTTTGTTGGTAATACTGCCTAGTTTCTATAGTTATTTGATCTGTTCCACCTAAATATCAGGATACAAATGCATTGCAATAAAAGGGGAAAAAATTATAGAGAAATTTTTCTTTTTCATTTGACATCATGTGATATTCTTTACCTTATGATGTGTCTTGCTTTCTTGTCCCACTGAGGATATTTTCAAGACAGTTTCTAGCAAAAGAACTCCAGACTAATAGTTGCAGAAGGAAAGGAATCAGACTAAGAGCTCACTATTCAAAAATTAATCTGAAACTAATTTTTAGCAATACAAAGTCTGAAATCCCCTTAAAATCAAGCCAAAACTGATATGAATATTTTCTAATATGTGTGAGGTCTTAATGTACAGTAGTATTCCCTATATCTGAAAATCCATGAAAGTATTTGGCACTCTGAACCTGTCAGCAGGTAATGCCCTTGCATATATTTTCTTACGCACTCAATTAAATACATGAGGTGTGCTTTAATCTTGAATGGGTAATGTTAATTTTCACCACTAGTTTGACTTATAAATTCCTCCCACAGAGAGGCATTATTATTAGCTAGTGGAATTCCATAAAAATACTAGTACCCACTTGAATTTTTTTATTAAAATACCTAATTTGTATATATAAATATTCATAGAAACAGCAACATATCACTCCTGGGATTTTTTTAACTCTAACCTTGATTCAGAAGCTACAACCTAGATTCAAAAGCAGTGCTATAAAATAAACTTTTAGATATTCAAATCTTTGCAGTAAAACACTGAGTCTGAAGTTAGTCGCCTGGGCTTTCCAAAAAAATGCATGCAAGGAATTGCACAAGATCCAGAAATACCTCAAACTGTTTTAAATCCACAAACTAAACTAGTTAACCAGGCAGTACTGAGTACAGAGCCATTGTAAGATGTTGTTCCTGGGAGCTGTGCATTCTCATGTGCTTTCTTTAGTGGCCATTAGCATGTGAGGGGAGAGGGCTCAGTTAGAAAGTGACACAGCCAAAAAAACCCGTGCAAACATACACACAGATATGATCCTATGAGAACAACTCCCTGTTACAAGAGTGCTGGGGACAGCATGTGAGAGAGGACAGAGGTACATTGCTTGGAGCAGAGATGAAGGGCAGGATAGTGGCAGTCAGGATTCAGAGAGATGTGGCAGTTGCAATCCAATTATACGTCTTGCCAGAAATAAAACAGCTTGTAAAGAGAATATGCCCTTGCAGTTGGCAACTGTGTGACAAAACCCAGTACAAGGAGCAGGGACTGGAATCAAAAGTCCCTGGTGTTTTGGTCAGATGCCCTCAGAGGCTGCTGGAGCATTTACTTTCTCTGGTGCTGTGAACCTTGCATCCTTTTCCGTATCATTTCAAAAAGAGAGTGGACAAATTACTAAAACTGGCTTACAGGCTGGCAGTTAAAACATTTCCATGGGAAGTGGAAAGAAAGAAATTATGGCTGTTGCTGCATTTTATGCAGACATATTCTGAGGATCCCCAGCAACAGAAAGCTTGAACTTAGGCAGGAATTTTATCCGTGAAGAATGGCCAAACCTAGATGTATGACCAAGGCACAGAGTGGCTTAGGTCTGTCACGGCATTTCAGGGCATTAGCTGTAGAAGCAGGTTTAAATGAGCCTATCTAAAATGAAAAAAGGAGGTCGTCAGACTGATAGTTTTAAATTTAGATGTTTACTTTTGGAGTCAACCATTAAGTCACTTAACTTCTATTCCAAATGGCAGAAAGCACTGGATTGGTGCACACGGCATGGGATAAGGTTTCTTACATACAGCTCTTGAGGGGTTTTCCACTACAGGGATTTTGATTTTTGCCTAAGCAGAGACCTCCTTGGGCGACTGTACAGATCTCCATTGCACCAGAACTAGTAATGATTGGAGCTGGTTTAGCTTTATCCTGTATTTCCCACCTTAAGTGACAGAAGGGGAAGCAGCAGGGGAATGAAAATTCACAGATGGGTGCATCTGAGAAAAAAACAATGCACAAGTTGCAACAATGCACTACTGCTGAAAGTGACAGAAGGGTAGGTGGGTAATAACCCCAAATAGGACTTCAAAAAACTTCCTTGAAGGCAGACTCTGACAAATATAGTATTGTATCAATCCAGAGGCAGCAATCAAGACATTTGAGGAGGGCCTTCATTACTTGGAACAAAACAAAAAAAACCCCAACAAAACAAACCACCACAACACCACCAAACAAAAAAAAAATCATATGACAACAGTTAGGTTTGGGTATCCAAACAGTTGCAAATAATTGAGTACCGAGCTCAGATGAAGGGAGAGCAAGAAGTTGAATACATCTGGGCCAGTCCTTCAATTAAAATACATTTGACAGCTGGACTGACACTGGGGAGGGTACTTGAGCTGCCTGTTTTCATGTAGCCAGGAGCCACAAACTATACACAGACAGTACCTGACTCCAGCTGAGATGCAACATACATTTCTAGGTGACACCTTATGCCAGAGGTGTTGCAGAGGGATTTCTTTTCCTTTGTGTGGTAAGCGTGGTCCAACACCCAAACATTCTGGAGATAAGCAAGCAGAACAGCTGCTGTCTTGAAGGCCAGAGAGCATCCCTGTAAAGCTGCTGGTTCACCTAATTAGTGCCTTGTGTGTGTATGTCTGTCTGTGTGTATTCCTCCTTCTAGGTGCTGCTCTGTGTATTGTGTAGGAGCAAATATGTATACTTCTGCCCTACTGTCCCTCCTCCTCTTGCTGCTCCACTGAATACACAGGATGTGGTGGGGGAGGAAGTATTCCACCATATCAGATTGCTTACACAGGGGATGACATGTTAAGATTCTATGAACTATAAGTGCCTAGTCTGATAAATACATCTTAAATTAAGAACATTTTTTGTGTGTGCTTATCAGTCACTGTATTCTGCATATACTTAGTCTGGGATTTTTGAAATAGACCAAATAATGAAAGAAATACTGAACTTAAAAAAAGCTATTATGAGTTTATAAAATGAATCATGCTTTATTGCTAACAGACAGGGTTCCAGAAGCATTTGGACAATGCTTTCAGGCACATGGTGTGATTTTTGGGGCTGTCCTGTGCAGGACCAGGAGTTGGACTTTGATGATCATTGTGGGTCCCTTCAAACTCAGAATATTCTGTGATTCTGTGATTTTCAAACTGTTCTAGCACAGTAAACCTGTGACATCTTAAAATTAATTATCTAATAATGTGAAGTCTTTATTTTCCACACTCAGTTGTTGCAATGGTAGTCTTAAGAATTCAGTGTAATTTTATAGTCAAAAAGTAATGAGCTAGATAAACATATGGTGTTTCCAGCTACAGATGCTCTCTTACTGCAGTACTGTGGTATTCAATTCACGTACACATTAAGGAGAAGACTGTTAATTTTCATAATCACATTTCTTTTGAGGCTCATTTTACTTTCTTATTTGTACTGTTTTGAAGTTTTATAACCTTTCGAACAGGCATAAAACTGTGCTCTGAAGAGACTCACTGTGCTAAATTATTATTAACAGATAATTTTTCTCTGTTATGTGTTAAATATCCTCCCTTTAAATTTCCTTCCATTTTGCTGCCATTACTTTATAAGATTGATTGTCAGGAACTGTTTATCACATCTTAATAAAATACATTCAAGATGTCTGTGCAATTTCATTAGACATATACAAACCTTCTACTACTGTTTGCTCTAGATAGACAACTTACTAACTACTAGTAGTAGTTTCTTACTTCTTAAATGCACCAAAATGCCCTTAACTATCTATACACAGTAAGCAGTGTAGGAATGCAGCATCACCTGACTGTGTGTCAAAGAACTTTTAGTGTCAGCAATTGGAACAATGTAATTCTTTATTTAAAGATGGTTCAACAAAGCAGAGAGCCCCCTAGACTTGCAAAGGAGTAGTTTCTAATTAGGACTGCATGCTAAGGGTACCAAGATGCCTTCCTTCAGAAAGAGGCACAGTTCCCACCCCTCCCCTTCTGTATCTTAGCTCAGCTGGAATCTACCTGTCAGAGCATATGGAAGGAGAGAGCACCTGCTTTGTTAATGTCATCTGACCAAGGATCTTGTCAGGTGAGAAGACAAAGAAGGGGGGAAGCCAAGCATACAGATGAACAAATGCAACCGAACAACACTCCCGAAAGACAACAGCAGAGAGCCCTGGTCAGCCAGACTCGTTGACAAGGGTATGTGGAGCAGGAAGCTACTTGTTTCAGCAAGATCAGCTGCACAAGGGGGGTGTGTGCTTTCACTAGTGAAACTCAGCCCTGACAGCCAAAGGGGAGAAAGGAACTTGGCTGTTGGCACTTGTGCGAGTCCAGTGCATAGGCACTGTTGAAGTTGCTAGTGGTTGGGCAGGAAAGCAGCAGCCACCTTCACCAGGGAGGAGGCACTGGGTGCCTGGGCTGGGCTCCAGCAGGGAAGAGGATGCTCGGCCCCAAAGCTGTGTGTGGCAGCCCCTTCCTCTAACATCCCTTCATGCTACCAAGGTCACACAACTGGATACAGGAAATAGTCAGACATGGTAATGTTTGAAATTTCCAAATGTATTCCAGGAGAGACACATTTAAAACAAAAAATCCACTAGCAGTACCTTGCATATACCTTGCCTGAGGAGAAAAGCTGAGTGGTACTACCACTTGTGATAAGAACGTTTTGTTTCAATTTGCCAAACACTCAAGTTGCCTCCTTAAACACCAGCTACCTTCAGCCCAGCTCCTGACAAGAAAATTACCTTCATTTCCTCTATCTTTTCCTTGTGAACATTTTCATACAAGCAGCAATAAACTGTTCCCCAAGTAACCTCTCTCATTATAGAGAGAAGCAGCCCAAGTACAGTAATTTGGGAAACTCGTCTATTAACACCTAATGGGTTTAGATTATGCCAGTATTTACTTCTGCCATAGTACAAATTCTCCTTTGAATATGCTTGCTCTTGAGTTGTTCTGCTGCTACCACAGAGGGAGGAAGAGGAGGAAAGGCACAGAAGAAAGGGTCTCTCATGGCCATCACCCATGAGTGATGAGAGTCATGGAGGGAATAGAAAGTAACTGTGGCCATGAAGGAGAGCTAGAGAGCCCACGTCCCTGGGACGAAAACACAAGGACAGGCGATTCTTTACAGCTCTGACCAAAGGATGCTCCAAAGTAATTGGCATTATCAGTCAAGGCAGGTTTTTTTGTCCCACCTAAATTAACGTGAGGTTTGCCTGTTTATTTCACTGGACGGGCTAATTTTAAACCAGAATGACCATGATTTTGGAGCTCTGGTAAAGCATATGCTATAATAATTATTATTCATGTAATTAATAGCATACTAAATAGGAAAATTCTGATTATTGTGAAATCTGAGCAGAGAGCAGAGAGTGGTAGTGGCCATGGAAAATTTAGAAAGCCGGACTACACAAGCCCATTTTCACGAAGGGGTAATAAAAGGCCCCTGACTAGAAATTTTATGATAAATTATAATTTAAAGTCTTTGTAACACATCAACTCTGGCAGACTGCCACCTTTCTATATGCATAATTTTGTATAATAACTATGACTTCAATGAATAAATTATGTTATAAAGTTTTCTCTAATTTTTACTGTTTCCCTGGCACGTGTTGTTGTTAATAAGCCCCGTATCATATACAGCATTTTAAAAGTGTTTATAGGAAGAAGTCTTTCATAGCCCCAGAACGACGCAAAACCTACTTCACATATACAGCATCCAGCTGTGAACTTCTCATGGTGCAGCCACGTCTCCCTGCAAACACACAACACAATAGATGCATTATCCTTGGTACCTGAGAGAGGTCACTGTCATGTATTTCCAAATGAGTTCAAAAAGCCATCAAATTAATTAAATTGCCTTCATTTCTTTTAACTTTTGCCATTAAAGCATTGGGTGTGCTTCAGGCACTGGTAACCTTATTCCTTATGCTTTTAAAATCTGTTTTGAATAACCATGGATGTTTGCATTAAAACATAGTAAAGTCAAATACTTTAAATGCTCTATTAAAATGATGGTCTAAGTGATGACTTGTATAATTAATTAAAGTAAAATAAAGTGCTTTTACTGTCTATGTCATGTTGGTTTTGCTCCCTTTGCTCTTGTTTAGTGAAATATAATATGCAGGAATATCAAATGTATGTTTTTAGCAACATTCACTATATCTTTACCTTTTTAATGTAAAATACGTATAATTCCCATTATGCAGAATCTTTTCTTAAATTATATTCCAGTCTTTTGATGGCATATTTCATTCTTTTCTCTACTGTAATAACAATACATTGAGGAGATGGTTTCACTGAGCCCTTCACAATGATATACAAGTCTTTCTCTTGAATAGGCAAAGATAATTTACTGCCATGGGATATGTGCTATTCCTCTTGATACATCATCCTGCATTGGCCATTCATTCAGTTCACTGTGGCTAACTGAAATTTCTCTGCTTGATCTTACAATAATGAGGGGTGCATAATTTTTCATCCTATAAAAAAACTGCAGCCGTACGGTCAACTTCCGTCTCTTCAACAAACGTTCTACCTACTCCATTTCATACTCTGAAACCTGACAGCGCACCTACTATTGGGTTTGTCATATTTTCTCTAATATTATTTTCCTCTCTCGTAGCTTGTTCCTAAATCAATAGCAGTTGAATGCCTTCCAGATTGTGATTACTTAGCTTCATGTGTAGTCTCCCGTGTGAGATACTAGACAAGCCTTTTTTCAAAACACATTTTAATCAACCCGCTCCTGTCTACCTACTGCGCTGCCGATGCTCTGAAAGGTTCTAGCAGATTGCAGAAACACTACGGCCCGCGCTTGGTATTTTCAATTTTGCAATCATAATTCAGCAACAATTTGGGTGCACATATTGCAACGCCGACTGAGTTTATTGTGACACCTCACGAGCGCTTCATTACGATGGCCAGAAAGTAAAGTCTTTTCGGGGCAGAGTGAGTCAGCACAACCCTACGCTACCTTCCCTCGGCCAAGCAGCCGCCAAGAGCGGGTCTGGTCACCTCGGCCTCACACAGCCTGTTGCTTGCCATGGCACCGCAGCCCGCAGCACTTGTTTTTCATTGTACAATACTTTGAAACGTTATTTCAAACGAGGCAGTGCTTTTCCTAACCAGGTGTTTTAAAGCGTTTGCAGGGCGCGGTGAAGTGTCGCCATCCCTGTTTCCGAGGCGGATAAAGCCCAGGGATGCTGCTCCGGGCACGGGGCGCTACCCGACCCAGTGTCCCTACACGTGGCGGCCGCTCCGGGCACGACCCGCACCCTGACCGGGCGGGGCCGCTCTGCGCCCTGCCCCAACTTCTCGGCCGTGCCCCCAGCCCGGCGGAACCAGTCGGACGCCGACGGGACGCTGTGGGCTCCCAGGCGGCTCTTTCCTGCCGCCCTGCCCGGGACGGGGGGAGCGGCGGGCGAGCGGGCGGTGGGCGGGGCGGCCCTGGCGGGGAGGGAGGGGCCGGGGCGGGCTCCGGCGGGGAGCTCGGCCGGGGCCCGGGCCCCCGGAGCGAGCGGCCGGGATGCGGTGCGGGAAGATGGCGGCCCCGCCGCCGCCGCCGGCAGCTGGGGCGCCGGGCGCTTGGGGCGGCGTGCGGCGGCGCTGCCAGCGGCTGCTCTACTGGGTGCCGGTGCTCTTCATCTCCAGCATCCTCTGCTGGTCCTACTACGCCTATGTCACCCAGCTCTGCCTGCGTGAGTGCCGCGGCGGGCGGGGGGCGCGGCGGGACGGGGATGGGCGCCGCCGCCCCTGCCGGAGGAGCGCAGCCGGCGGGACGGACACGGGCTGCAGCGGCGTCTGTGGGGTGTCGGTGCTGGGGCCGCCCCCGGGTGCTGCCGCCGCCACGCCCGCGGGCCGGGCCGGGCCAGGACCGGGGCAGGGGCTGGGATTGGGGCTGGGGCTGGCAACGGGCCGGGCCGGGCTGGGCTGGGCTGGGCTGGACCCCCTCGCGTCCCGGCCGCTCGGACGAGGGGCATCCACCCCGCCTGGTTCTTTCCGCAACCTGGTAGCGCCTGGTTATCCCACGCGAGGAGGGATCCAGTCGCACGGGGCTTTTCACGGGCGCGAGTTTCCCTCCGTGGAGTGCGCAGCGGGTGTCAGGTCTCAACCCCGGAGATGGGAAGCGGGGTCTGACCATGCGGGTGGCTGAGCAGAGTTCGCCGTCCATTCGGCGTGACAGCCTGTACACAGACACACAGTGCACATACATGCACATACATGTAGCGCGTGAGGGCCATTTGTCAGCCGGCGTGGAAGCAGGAACAGGTAACAGGAAATCTGCGAGTCGCCCCGTGCCACTCTTCAGTCATCTAGAAAATGCCCAGCTGTCACAACTACTTGGTCCCTTCTTTGGCATCGGAAGCCTGCATGACATTCGGAAGTCATCCTGACCACGCACCTTGGCACCCGTTCCTCAGCGTCAGGCAAATCATTAATCATATACTGGAGACTGGGTGTGATATGAGTATTTGTGTAAATTTGAGTAGCCAAGCCAGAGGGCTTTATTATAAATGACCAGCTTGCCAGGCTCCCTTGGTTTCTGGGTTTGGGGTTGGTTTTTTTTCTGATTTTGACTTCTCTTATAGTGCATCTTGTAGAAAACAATTGAATCTTTTAATTTTAGGGGCTAGTGTGTGGTATACTGATGTTTCACTAACAGTGTTACAGTAATGGCATAAAGGAATATGAGTTGTAAGTCTTCAACTATTCATCTTGAAAATCTCAGCAGTCTGGTACGTAATTTTAATTTTATTTTTTTTATTGTATATAGAAGATTGATAGGATTTTTTTCCTATAGATGCTTGGCTGAGCAGTTGAGGGACTAAGCGAAAAATGATTGCCAGGCCTAGTGCCTCTGTTTTGGAGGGAAGTATGAAGACTTGGTGTGGTTCCTATATTGGAGGTGGGCTTTTTGCATCTTTTTTTTTCCTTAATAATAGTCAAATCTTTTAGTTCTGAGCACCACTCTTCTGCTAGAGTTGCTGTGCCTTCCCGAGAGGATGAATGCAGTGTCTGCCTCCAGTGCAAGGAGGTGAATTGTCTGCAGGGCTCTGGGAGAAGTTGACTGAGTGAGCCTGGAGAGAGGAGCTGTTAGCCAGCATGAGGAGGGAGAGGATATTTAAGGGGAAAGTTGCTCTGTAGTTAACATTTGTCCTGGTGTATGCAGCCCTGTAGTAGGTACAGGAGGCTTGTTTTGGGCATTACTGTTTCAGTGATCAACTATATTTTTTCTACTGCGTAATTCTGCATAACAGAGGAAGATTGGGTTTTAGCTTACCTGAAAGTGCATAAGCTTTTGTCTTAAGGAAATGACATGCTTGAAACCTGCTTCAAACTGTAAACTGTGGTACCCTAATGCCTTGAAAACCCCTCAAAGCATAAAGTCTGTGATGGGAGAGGAGGAAGAGAGAATCCTGGGCCTCTACTAAAACGTCTTTTACTGAATTCCTTTCTATGGATAAGGGTGATTTTTTTTTCTTTTTTTTTCAGTTTCCCCCACAACCACCCCTTTCCCATTCTGCCTGGATTACCAGTTTTTGAATTCAGCATAATAGTCATCTACAACTTCCACTAATTCCATCTTTTATCTGTATCTGGATGCTTTCCCTCATTTTTGGCATATTAAGATAAAATAAACTTATGTCTTGTCTTACTAATGAATATTTAGTGTAAACAACAGAAGGAATAACTAACAACTCTGGGAACGAAAGCCAACGGCAGGAATAGACTGTAAGCATTTCAGTGCTTTGAAGCCAGCCTGTCTGCTCAGTGTGTCTTTTATTCCTGCAGCACTGAATGCTAAAGAGGACGTATATAGTTCCTTTTTTCCCCTGCAGCTTACTGTCATCGATGCTAATGACAACATACAGGGAACAGTGTTAACCATTGTGCAGTAGGACTTAGCAAGGACTTTGCTCTGTTTTAAGTGGTTTATTTCAGCTTTTAGTAATGAGCTATTTTGAGCTTTTAGTAGTGTTTCAAATGTAGTATTTTGAATGAGGGGTTTTTCTGCAATTTTAATCTGAGCATTGTAGGAGGAACGTTATATTTTTTTTAAAAAAGAAATCTACTAGTCTGATTCCTTTCATCCCTAAAGCTGAATAGTTACAGCATTGAAAAGCATTTTAGGAATTGAAAAAGGTTTTAGAAATAGAAAAAGAAATTCACTGTTTTTAACAGTAGTATTACCATATCTGTCTCTTTTATTAATGGATTCAGTTAAGTGCTCATGCTGTTTTAACCTTTAAGGAAAAGGACAAGGGTGTTGAACACTAGCAAATGTTTCTCTTCTTCCTGTTATAGAATACTGGAATTAAATTAATTAATTAAATTAAATTAAATTAAGACCAAATTGATTGGTCTTAAAACACCTGACTAAAAATTGCTTCTCTTTATTCCAATACCATTCTCTTAACTTTGCCAGTATTGTCATCTCCCAAAACCTATCTGGCAATAATAGTTGTTTTTTTTCATGCAAATACCTTCCTTTGTGTTTAAAATTAATGGGCCTATAAGTATCCCTTCTCTTAAAAAAAATTTGAATGTGTTTATGAGAACCTGAGGGATACAGACTTGTTGTTCTCCCTCTAAAAAAGATGAGGAAATAACAGGCAACCTGCAAAGAGTACAATGAACTTGGATAACTAAAGTTACTGAAATTTCAACCAAGGATATATGGAACAATCCTATCATGAAGTTCAAATGGAGTTCTTTCCCCCAGCACCTCGTCCATGTGTCTATACTCAGAAAATATACATTGGATTCAGTGTTTCTGAAAACGCAAATATGAAAATTTAGTGTTTATTAAAATCTTTGCATGTTTCATATGCAAAGAAAAGAATTGTTCTTATGTCTTCCTTCTTAGATGCATCTCTCACTCAGTTTTGTAGAACTATAAGAGACTTGGAGTAGTTGTCCACTCCATGCTTTAGGTAAGGCAGAACCAGTAGTTATTTGCAGTTTCTGATAGTTGTTTGTCAGAAATGTTTGTTACAAACTTGGATACTGAGATGCTGTTTTTTGTTTTGTTTTGTTAGTTTTGTTTGCATTTGGTTTTGTTTTCCTGCCAGTTTGTGATTTGGACCTGCACATAAAGAAGGAAAATGTAAAAATTTGACAGTGCTGTGGCAGATGTTTTTGGTGAAAATATAAACTGAGCTCATGAAAGTGTTATCCTATAAATAGAATATGGATGTATATGTATATGTTTTACATGTCACTGATTTTTAATTCTAAGGATTATGCTCTTGCTCAGAGAATCTGTCTGAAAATGTAGCTTGAATTTGTAATTTTAAAGAAGGAAAATGGATTTGGTGTGGAAGAAATGAGCACTAAGCATTTCCTTACTACTTCACTGAAGGGAAAGGGAGGAAGTATTGCCACCTGGTGAATGAATTGCCTGATTTGGAAAAGAGTGACTTCAGCACAGCTGAAGAGGGGATACAACAAGACATTCACCGCACTGTCAGGAGAGCTCATAAGCCACATCTTTGTTTTTGGAGTAGAGTATGTAGCTTGTATCTGTCCACAGCTACCTTCAGAATGGAACAGAAAATGTGGAATGACATCCAGATGCTGAAGATGTTAATGATCATGAAAAAGTTTTGCTGGAGGATCAGACTGATTAGTGCTGATCTGAGGTTTTTGACCATCAGTGTACCATCAGTGGAATGGAATTATAACAGGATAAAAAGCTGCTTAATTCATCACAGTTTAGAGGCAGGATTAATATGTGCCCTGTGGGCTTGGCATAGGGTCATCAGGGCATAAGAAGTGACAGAAAATATGGAGATAGAAGTTGATAAGAGGTAAAAAAAAAAGGTGGGGGGGGAAGTCAGACCCACAATTTGGTCTGCTGGATTTGAGCTCTTTGCTGAGTATGTTCTTCAGATGAATTAAAGGATTTATGGTACTTGCAGCTTTTGTCTTGTAACCATCTACATCTTACCTTTGGCTATAGAAATACTAGTACATTGTAACATTGCAGTTGGCTGTTGTCAAATACCAGTTAAATACCCTATCTTTACACTGTCTGCTAAGGTAGAAAAGGACTTTGTTCAAGGAAAGTTTGCATTTTTATTCCATATTTTGCAAATACCGCTTTTTTTTCCCTCTTTGGTGATCCCTGGGTACTTTGAGAAAAGTTTCGAAACTGGCAGCTGAAGTAAAATTGGCTTCTGAAGTATATCCAGCAGTGCTCCCATGCAGCTGCCATTGACCACTTCTGAAATGGAATTGAAATCTATGTTAAGCGTGGCTGATTATTTCTCCATGTAGTGCCCGGTGTATTACCTATAGGTTTTGTGCCTTGAAATTTAAACCATGGCCTGAAGTTGAAAACATCTATGGTGAAGATATAATTATTAGATAAGATTGTTTTCAATTAAAGATTTAACACTGCTTGATACATATTTTAATAGATGCTCTTGTCAGGGGGTACTTTGTTTTTGCTGAAAAGGATCTGACTCTACAACATTGCTAGAAATAGTCTTCACTCTTCAGTCAGTCCTTTTGACTTGGAACATAAATGGGAACTTTGTAAAGAAGATTAAGTCAATTCGTAGTGATGTTCTATTCAAATAGCAGCTTGCTGCTGGGTGGCAGATGGTGATGCAGTTTGATGGGCACAGGGTTAAAATGAGTTTACTGAAACGTTCACAAATGCCATCAAATCCAAATATAAGGGTTATTGATGAAGTATTAATAGCTATTTATACCAACCTTAAATATCCCAGAAATACTTGTTACTTTTGTTCTGAAGCAAAGCACTGGTGGCATGTTGTCACTCTAAATCAGTGCAAATCACTGCTCTGCCTAGCAGAGAGGTAGGTTTTTATTGCAAGCAGTGATATTTTTTCTAAAGGACTGTTGCAGGCAATGGCAGAACACATGTCACAACTATAAAACACTTTTATGTGTGCACAGAGCTGAGTTAAGCTGCATCTATAGATCAGTGTTTTCCAGCTTCAAACATGCTATAAAGATAAAATATATACTTATTTTTGTGAATCAGATCCAAGATGTTAAAATTCAGAAAAGTTTGAGAGAAGAACCTATTTATAGATGTGGCTGCAGAGTCTCTGAATCAGGTGTGTGTTATTTTCCCACTCCAAAGTTTTAAATATTTTAAACATGTACATAAAATATGAAAGTACGGTTTAATATCCACTTTTATCAAAGCTTAAAAAAATTAATTGCTTTCTCTCCCTTTTTTTTTTTTTAAATCTAACCATTACATTTACAGTTCAGGAACTTTGATTTTGGGTTTAGAAGTCAAGTAAAATTTAATGTTACAAAACCAATGCAAATTTTTTACATTAATTTTATCTTCCAAACTCTTTTGGGTTTTTTGGTAGCACTGTGTCTTACCATGTCTCTAGCTGTATGGAGATGGATGTCTACTTAATTTTTCCACAAGTGAGTGAGAATAAACATTCCTAGATAAAATGAACAGTAGTTCAAGAAATGGAGAATCCATTTCTGTCGCTTAATTAAGGTCTGATGCAGTGCAAGGTGCTAGCAGTATGGCTTCTCTTCTTAGCAAACTAATGTGGTGATGGAAACCATCGTGGACTTTTTCCGATCTTTTTGTAACACAGCTTTGTTTTCTTTGCAATTGTTTTTTTGCAAGCGCAGGCTGTTTAGCAGCATTGACTACAGAATATGCTGTTCCTGTTTCTGGCTGCTTGTGGCTCAGGACAAGCAGGGCACGATGTTTCTGGCTCAGGAAATTGGCACCTATGTTGGCTGAAGTCCTGCGTCTGTCCCAGCCTGGTCCCTAATTCTGATGAGCACCATCTGCAAGCTGCGTAATTATCCGGAGAGGCTCTAATGATGTGATAGTCTGCTAGTACTGAACTGTAAATGGCATCCTTAGCTTTAGCAGGGGAAGGATGATTCTTAATGAAATTGACCCCTGCAGTATCTCAGACGAACAAAGCTGTAACTTTTTAATGATCTCTTGAAGACAAGTCACAGTTTTATAATTATATCCATCTCTGAATATACAGGAGTATCATTCCATTTTGGTCCCAAAGGGTTTTACCCTGTTTTCTTCCAGAAATTGCTTAGCAGTTGGGATTGCCATGTCCTTAGTGTTTATTTTAGTCATCGTAGACATAAATGCTTTTTACCCATATTATTTCTGTGCTGTTTGACTACCAGTAAGTGCATTTGCAGCATTTCAGCTGATATTTATTAATGATGGGTTGCACAGTCTGACCTACTTTTCTGTGCACTACGACAGTGAATGTAACCCCTTGGAAGAGAAATGAGAAAACTGCCGGAAATACTGATATAAATGATTCAGGGAAGACTATATGATCAAATACTGCTGAATAATATAGTAAAGCTGTATCACTGAATCTAATGAAAAGTAAAATATTTGGTTTAAATAAATACATCATGTGTGCTGTTCAGAGGATGGGGAAAATAACAACCATTTTTTGATCAAACCAAAATTAGAGTGGCATTTTTCATGTCAGAAAATTATTTTCCATGCACTTAAATAGTGTGATTTTAGAATTATAAACATCTTGTGGTTACCCCAAGAACGCTTTGTATCACCTTCATTCAACAAAGAGAGAAAATTTATTTTTTAGAGAAATTTGAGAGAGTTTGATTTCTAAGAGCGATTTTTTTTTTTTTCTTCCTGCTAGTCAGTTCTGTCACATTTGTGCAAAACAACCAACCGACAAACCCCAAAACCAAACAACCCAAAAGCCAAACCAAACAAAAAAAGTCCCCCTTTCATTTCCTCTCTGGTGCTGTGGTATTGCAGATGCTTGTCCTTTCCTACCTCCTTCGGGGAACTTCCGTCAAAGGTGATTGAAAGGCATAAGCAGAAGGAATAGTACTTCACCTCATACAGGTTATTGGATATCTTGCATGTTCCTCTCTGTCACCGTCTGCGAGAATGCTTATTGGGCAGTGCAGCCAGTCTCCTTGTACACACCAGTTGCAGTATGTGTAGAGAAAAAAGATAGCAAGACTGAAGGTACTGGCATCTCTTTTCAGCCTTACCTCTTCTGCTTTGGTCTCTTAAAGTAGTTGCAAGTCAGGAGTGTATGAAATAACTCTTGAGTTATACTCAGGTGGTAAAAGAGATTAAAATGACAAGATTTCTCGAAAAAAAACCACGTTCTCACCCTGCTGAGATTAGCTCGACATCTTTGGGCACTTGTGTTTTAGCCTTCATGGTCCTGACTGTCAGGAACATTTGGCTTCCAAGCTAGATACCACAAAAGCTGAAAAGACAGTCCTCTGAGCAGATGCAGACTCTGAAGTATGCATTTCCTTCCGGAGGTTGACAGAAATTTTGAAAAGCTATAGGTTTGCTGTCCAGTAGAGATGATGAAATTTGGATTTATTACTTGTATCTACCCTTTGCCTACAGGCATGTGAAAAATTTAGATGCTTCAAAGACATTGATAAATACATTTTATCCAAAGATAAGGGATGGAAAAAAGATTACAACTGCTTTCACAATATTCTTGGTCATTCCCTTGTAAGGAGAGAAAAATGCCACATATCATTGTGAAGGTTGGTTAAATAGATTTTATTTTGAAACTAGTGATTCTGCAATATATACTTGGCAAGGGCTTTTTAATTAACAGAGAGTAGTTATTCCAAGAAGACTGTCAAAGTTTCTGCATACTTTGCTGACCATGCCAAGTGGAGAAAGAAAATCAGAATTTGAGTAGTGGCTAATTTGTCCTCATCTGAGAGCTTCAGCACTTTTAAATTACACATCAGCTCTAAGGATGTCTTTTGTTTTGTAAACAGTCATCTGGTGGATTACTGTTTATTTGCAATTTCACAGTTCTTGTGTATTATTGTAGTGGACCTTCTCTGTTCCTCAGAGTTAAATGTGTATACATGTTCCCTCAGCTTCTCTCTAGCAGTTGTCTAGATGCATATTTAGCTTATCAAGTTCTAAATATTTCAGAAAACTGAGAGCAGAATACAGTTTATAGTGGCTTATGCGACTTCGGTGGTGTCTTTCTGATTTTTGTGAAGAACTTTATAAACATGGTTGCTTACTGTTTTCCCTCAGGTAAAAGTAGATGCTTGTTTTGGCAGAGCTATAGCCCTATCTCCATTTTAATAGACCTATTTTATAATTACAGAGTTGTAGAATAATTCTTGTTTGAGAGGACCTAAGCTTGTCTAGTCCAACCTGCTAATCAAAGCAGGGTTAGATGTGAGGTCATTGCAGGTTGTTCAGGGTTTTATCAGTTTGAGTCTTGAAAAATTTCAGTGATGGAGGCTGTACAACATATCTGGGCAGCTTTCTGCATTGATGGGTTGTTCTCATGGTGGAGAAGTTTTCCCTTGTATCACATGTGATCCTTTCATTTCAACTTAACACCTACTGTCTTTTGGTCTCCCACACTGTGCCAGTATGAGGAGCCCAGCTCCACCTCCTCGATGCCTTCCTGGAGGTACTGTTAGGCCCTCCCAAAACCCTTCTCCAGGCTGACAAGCCCTGGTTATGCAGCCTCTGTTTAGTTTTAGTTTTTAGACTGCTTAACTAGGATGGATAAATGTGTGGTGGAGTGGTTTGAGTGGAAGGAGGTTTTGATCACTTGGGAGTTTTTGATCTTACTGAGATACCTGTTGCAGGATGGCTACGTTTTTTAAATAATGTGATCAAGAGTGGAAAATGCAGTGACTGATGTGTGATACCTGTGTACTCCACTCCATGCCTGACATACTTGCGTCTTTCTCACTCTTTTACTATCCCTAAATCTTGTAATCCAGGGGCAAATTCTTAAACTAAATGCAACTTTTGTGTACTTTAAATTTTTATGCTTTGAAGATCTAAGGTATCACCAAGTATTGCTGTCAAAACCAGTTCTGGAGTCTGATACCTCTGGTTCAATAATAGAACATAAATAAACAGTGAAACCCATACAACCATAGTTAAAGAAATAACTGGTCTGCAGGGGTGGCTTTTCTTGGATTAAATTTGGGCGGCTTCTGATAGATGGAGGTACTAGTTCTCAAGAAATGAGCCTGGGAATAGGAGCCAAAAAAACACTATAAGCAGTTGGTATTCTGTACCTATTCACATAATGAATGTACACAGCATAAAATCTTGATAGTGTCTGATATTAAACATGTATTGTTTGATGATTACACTTCCCTCTTTGATTGAAAAAAAAAGTTTAAATATTCAGTTACATCATCTGCTATTTAAACATAATTTTTACTATTTCCTTTTTTATCTTTTTTCAGTGACAATGACAAATATTGGAGAAAAAGGTAAGATTTTTATTATCTGTTTATAAGTGGAATTCATTTATCTGGGTAGAATAGTAGTTTACTAGTAGAATTAAGATACGAATCTAACTAGTTTTAAATAAGTATAGTTTTTGTGTTCCTCAGCTCCTTTTATTATCCTGCTATTCCTGAATATTGCTTTAGCCATTACAAATAAAGATAAGAAAAAAATTTTCGCTGTTCCTACTGGCTTTCTGATGTGCCAACTAAAATAATCCTTATATTCTGTTATTTAAAAAAAAGTGTTCATAGCACAGAAAGCTCTTGTAAAAGCAGGACTTCTAGCTATGAACAGGGTGTTGGTGCAGATGCAACCTATTTAAATGGGAGGTAAATTTTTACTGTAGTTTCTTCTTAGCCAGTGTCTTTAAAATCCTTTGGATATGTAGCCTTTTTAGAATATAATAAAACTGCCTTATTAGCAGTTCCTACAGTTCCTACCCTGAGGCTGTAACATGTTTAGATTACTTTTTCAGATGCTATTTTACTACTGTGGCACAGCATGGAAATGTAAAGTGTGGGGCTGAAGAGCTTTTGGAGGAAGGGGTTAAGAGTTAGGAGATAAACTTTATGCTTTTTATGTTTGTGTAATTCCAGCGTATTTTATCAAGCCATTGGCAGCTCCCTCACTTAGAGAAAGTGTTTATCAATTAAGAAACATTTGCTTGAAAAACTTTCTTCAGTTCAGTGATCTTTCCACGCATATGAGTGCATAAGCGTATCTGCAAATTTCAGCACCTGCATTGAAGTAATTCCAGTTTCTTGCTGCTCCATACTGTGTGAGAGGGGACACGAGTGTGTTGTTATGCATTGCTCACAAAACACATTAGAATTATCAGCAAAATGCATTGGAGAACATTAAATTCTCGCTCAAAGCCTTGGTCAGGTTCAGCCAGTCAAGAGAAATTTACCCTGGCTTATACTTCTACCCTAAGTTTTTTCCGGGGTGAAAACTGGGTAAATGGGGCTCAGCCCTACTACAGGTTGCCTCAGATCTCCAGACAACTCTAGCTATCCTAGCTATTTGTAAATGGATTGCCTTCATGCAAGGGATACACCATTTGGGTTGGGGTTTTTTGGGAGGGTGGTTCAGAAAAACTGTGAAATCGAAGGATTTCTGCCAGGGAGATGCAGAGACCTCTTCTTTTACTGTCTCAAGGGAAATTAGGTTTTATACTGGACTCTCAACAGACCCAGTGGAGCTGTGGGTAGCCCAGGGTCTCCATCGCAGTGCAGAGAAACTGGTGGGTAGATAACCTGGGAGGAGTGACCAGTTGGGACCTTGGCCAGGTTGGAGAACTGAGGTTCAAGATCAAACAAGATGAGCTTGAGTCTTGTGCAGTCTTTAAAGGGGAATCCTGGGATAATGTCCTTAGGCTAAGCTTTCATCTTCCTTCAGTAGTCTTTTCTTTTTTTCCTTTCATGTATGAACAATTTTCTTATCAATCACAATTGTTGTTTTTCTCACAACAATAGAATACTGATGCAGATTAGTAAATGCATTGTGTACAGAACTGAGATAACTTGCCCTACCTTGCTCTCACTGTATGCCTTGAATATACTATTGTTTAAAAAAATACTGATTTTGTTTGAGTAAATCAGGGGTTTTTTATAGTTGATAGAAATGTTCTGATAAAAATGTGGACTGTTCCTGTCCAGAAGCTTGTGCGATAGCAAGTTGGTCTTTTAGTGTATTGTTCTTTGTGTGGAGTCCAGTTCTATCACTTACTTATGCTGATGAGATTTTTCTCTCAGTTTAAAGGCTTGGCATATGGCTCTTTTCCCCTGTCATCCCTAAAGCTCTGTACAGAGTTGCTCTTTAGATTTTCTTAGGGTTTTTTTATTATTTTTACTGCTTAGCGAATAAGAGTAAATATTTACAATGTTTCTGTTTTTCAAATAAACAAACTTCAACACCAGAAATATTTATTCAGTGTTACTATTGAGGAAAAATTACAAAAAATAAGATCATTCTGGGCAATTGTTCCTGCATTTATACACTTCATCATGCATGTGTTACAGAAATTTATTCAGCACTGAATAGTATTACATACAAAAACCCCCCATGAGCTAACCATACAAGAGCAATATTTCAGATTGTGTAGTTAAAGTACACAGGTTTCCCTTTATGTTTTTTTAATGATCTTATGAATTTATAGAAAAATACTCTTTCCTGTCTTTGGAGTAAGTTAATTAGGGGATATGAGTTTTGGATATGCTATTTACTGTAGTGAATTTCTTAGTACAGTGAGAGATTTTAAGAAGAAATACCTATCCATCCATGGCAGGCTCTTAGGAAAAGTTAATGTTGCCTTCTGTATTCTAGTAAAACAATTCAGCATGATAAATGCTCACTGGCATCTGTTAAAAATATAAGAATAATCACTGGCTGTGAAGAACAAAAAGTAGTGAATGAACATTTTAATTTAAAGGAACTGCAGGTTTTTAAAAACCACCCAACTGTCCTCCCTCCTAAAATCTAGCAAAACAAATTAACTGGTTATAGTTACTGCTCAGGTATCATGTGTTGTATCCACCCCAAGACTCCCCTCACTCTTGTCATTGTTTGGATAACTATACTTCCTTTGGCAGGGGGCTGGGATGTTTGGGGGAGAGGAGGTGTTTGCATGCTTAGCAGTCTTCCTACATGGTTTCTAAAGCTAAACAGCAGAGATGCATCAGTTAATTAGGATTTAACAAATGTGTAAGGAGGGAGTGCTTGCTAAATAATTATGGGGCTTTAATAGGCCCATTCCCCTCAAACTTTTGTAATCTATGTAGACTGTATCATGACTTTCCCCACAGAGTGTGTATTTGTCTAATGTAAAGTTGCAGTGCTGTATTTTTGTTGCAAAGCTTTTGCAGAACTGTTTGTAAGTACTACAGTATCACTGGTCTGTTTGTATTAATTCTGTTCCTTTTTAATTTTAGTTGTGTGCCTGGTTGCTTACCACGTATTTTTCATGCTGTTCGTCTGGTCATATTGGAAAACAATCTTTACGCTACCAATGAATCCTTCAAAAGAAGTAAGATAAACTTAACTTTTGTTTTTGAAATAGCCTAGTTAAATGCCTGATTCTGTAGTATTTGAATAGCTTAGTCTCTGATCTCATGTAGTCTTACACTGTGTAGAAAAACACAGATGATAGTTACACAGCTTCTTAATAGGAGTGAGTCAGATTGCAATCAATGTAGTGACCAAGACAAAAAAAAATAACATCTTCTCTAAATTTTAAAGTTTTTAATAGATATTTTAAAGTGAGCTACTTATGACATTAAGAAGAAAAAATCCTGTCCACTTGAAAAATGTGAGTTATTTGAACTACTAGCTTAAATTTTTGCCTGGGAATATCGGACTTTTATGTGGGCAAAATTTTATTTCCCCGTGTTTAAGACTTATATTTTCTGCCAGCATCTGTCTGCTGTCCTCTGAATTAAAGATTCTTCCCCATGTATTTTGATATAAAGGAATTTGTGGGTTGTAGTGGGAGTGCACATTGGGTAAGTTGATGCTGGGAAGCCACAGCTGGCTAAGCAGGAAGGGAGCTAGTAAACAACAGCCACATGGAAAAAAGGTTATTGATGGAAATGCTCCCCATGCAGCTTAGTACAACCAACACAACTTTTTGGCCTCTTCCATCCTCTCTTTATTCAGAAACCCCCTAGTCCTCAGTAGGTGCTGTGTCACGCAACTTCCAAGGTCAAGAGGAATCATTCTGTGGCTGTTCTGTAGTTTGAAATACCCACAAAGCCATTACTTACTTCAGCATGGACTCGTAAGTCTAGCTGCTTTAAGTACTATGTCAACACAAAATAAATAGCTGGTGGTTTCTGCTGTCTGTAGTGCAGAGGTTCTTTTCTGAATAGTTTTCATTCACCACTAAGATACGTAGTTGTGGAAACAAGTAGATAATTCAAACTAATTGCGGTTTTCACTGAAGTTCACACTGCAGTCTTTACTACAGCTTGGGATAGGGAGGAGCAAAATAAATTAGGAGCCTATTTCATTTGGTAATTACAGAGCCAAATGTGTGCATGTATATGGTGACTGTAGCAATAATTAGAAGGGTTTTCAAAGCGCTGGACTGATGCCAATGAAAGACTTCCAAAACATTTTGACAAATCCTACTAATTACAGTAGGATTCCAAAACCATCATACAATACTACTGAAGAACTTCAGATGGGGTATGGAAGTTGGGTAATAGAAAGCAATATGTGATGTTTCTGTGTTCTTTGAATTTACACAATGTTGCTGGCAGAAAGTGACATCTTTGTTGTTCCATGTCTTTTTCTTGTTCTACTAGAGCAGTATTTTCAAAATTTAATTAGAGTATTTTGTGATGTTAAGTTACTGCTTGGCTTCCATTTTCTAGGATGAAGTCTGTGAATACTAAAGGATTATCTTTTCAAATGAACTGAACTGACTTATCTAGCAAAAACTCATTTGAATACTGAAAAACAGTTCAGCATTTTGTTTTCATGAATAGTGTAGCTGGTGCAAACTGCACAGCTTTCTTTTAAGCTTATTTCAAACTTTAACACATACAGAAAGTAGACTGTGAGGGACTTTGCTGTAGTGTGTGCCATTCTGTACCTGTGCATACTAGCTATATGCAAGTACTGCATGACGGTGGGAGAGAAGATGGTTTCCCAGGAAGGAGTGTTTGTAAACTTAGGACTACTCTGAGGACCAATACAAAATGATGGAGTAGTAGCTCTGTTTACATCGAACCAGCATTTTAAAAAAAAGTATTCTGAACCAAGTTTCTGCAGTGAGAAATTGTATGTATCATTAATATAAATCAAATCAGATTTTGGTAAGAGTGTGTTCTTGGAAGGGAAAAAAATGAATGGTGACTTGAGAAACTCAGGCTAAACGGTAAATCTCCAGCTTCAGCTGGAAGATTGTGAGTTTTGCAAGGAAGGGTGGAGTGGTGCCTTCTTTATGGTGGTGAGAGTAGGTTCCTAACTGTGTTTCTGTCTGCTTCCTTAGTTTTACTTACTGCCTCACTTCCTTTTAGGAAAAAATTCAACATTGTAACAACTAGCCTTCCTGTAAACATAAAATGCTGTGGAGTGGGCTTCTGTTTCTAGCACAGGTTAGAGACAGCCACTCTTCCTGCCAAATGTGGACTTCTTTTCAGAGATGATTTTGTATCCTCTTTCTGGAGAATATCAGAGATGTAGATATCAAAGTTTTTGGCATCTGCCCATTTCTAGAAGCTACAGTGACAAGGCTATGGTGCTGTGTTGCAAAGGACTTTAGAGTATAAGGAATTTGTACTACTTCATGTATACTGAGCATGTCTTTCAGAAATTTTTACCCTTTCAGCACTTACTAGAGCCGTATTTCTTATTGCCATTTTGAGCAGTGACAGAAGTTGTCATTTTATTCAGGAAGATGTTCAAGATGTGGTTTTTCTGTCATATAGGACACCCGTCTCTTCCTTCTCTCAGCCAGTCTCTATAGTAAAAACACATCCTAACACCTGCATGACTAGAACAGCAACTCTCTAGTGACAAAGAATAAAAGGAAAAATGCCAGACAGAAGAGAAATAAAGCTATCTTTTTGGCTGTTATTAGTAGTGTATTTTCTTTCAGTTAAATACTGACATCCCTAGCTTATATTCACTACCTAATATTTGGTATTACAGAAGTAAATTAGCTGACCTTTCAGGGGAATGATAAGCTCTTGATCTTCCTCTTGAAGAGAATTGCTTAATACTTCTGGAAGCATTCATCTCTACATTGATACCAAATCAGAAGTATTTTTAATTTTGCCATAAACTGAATTAGTTGTCTTGGGAACACTGGGTTATTTGCTGTAATTCCGTGTACTTGCTGCTAATCCATCTTCATATAATGAATATTTATTTCTCATTACACATCTACAGTTACTTATTTAACTTGGAATTTGCTAACATTTCTTTGATTTTAAAAATTATTCCAGTTTCATCTATCATATTCAGACAAGGAATCCCTAGAGAGAGAGCCTAGAGGTGAATCCCAGCAAGAAGTCTTAAGACGGGCAGCCAAGGATCTTCCTATCTATACACGGACAATGTCTGGAGGTAAATAAGTGTTCCGGAGGCCACCGAAGACAGATGTCTTGATGTACTACCTAAACTAATTTAAAAAAAATTTAAGAGTTTGGATCGAAGGGGAAAAGTGCTTTTCATACTTCATAAAATAACAAAATGGTCCAAGAACTTAACTTTAATGTAACTTTATGCAGCTACATTTATTCAGCGTAAAGATTGTTGGAAAGTAAATTGTGGCATACAGTTTAGGATTTTAAAGTGGATTGACACTTTTTAGATGTTTTCAAATTGATTTTAGCAAGTAGCTTGTAAAACTAACAAGCTGCAGAAGAGGCTGTAGCAGTCATTAGCTGCACAGATTTGTTTTTTCATAGGTTAAAAAAATAGTTATAAAAAAAGAATCACTATCTGCATGTTATATATAGATAGATAGATCACAGTAAGAAATTGTTACTGTTTTACTTGTTGGTTGTTCCGTAGCAAGAACAAAGGTTCTTCCAAACTAAGAGTTAATCTAACCCTACCGATATTGTCAGTTTGTGAATGCTGGCTAGCTAAGCAAATCCAAGAGATAATCTCATATAGTAAATTAAAGCTGTTAGAACAATAGCTTAAAATAGCTATATTGTTGAATGATCTTTAAAGTTTTTCCAGTCTGGTAGGTTTTTGTGGGTTTTGTTGGTTCGTTGGTTGTTTTGCAAAGCTGAGGGGTTTGGAAGAAAAAAACCATGATTAGCATGATTAGCAGAGATTGCAAAAATTGAGCTTTTTGGGTTCACTTTGATAGATTCAGCATTGCAAGTAGTTAAAGAATGCTTTGGTATTTGCAACTCTTTCTGATCATGTTGAAATGCTTTCCTGGGGGGTTCGTTCTTCGGGGCTGAGCTGCTAGTATTTATTTTTGCACAGACTTCAGGTATCAAAATGTGTAACTGTACATTGACATCTAATCTTGGAACGTTTTTTCTTTAGCAATCAGATACTGTGACAGATGCCATCTTGTAAAACCAGATCGTTGTCATCACTGTTCTGTGTGCGACAAGTAAGAAAAAATTTTAAATAAGTGGTTTTCTGAATTAATCCATTTTTTCCTTAACACAGCAGCTTTTATTTTTTATGAGTAGATTTTTCAGGTTTAATATTTTGGCAGGTAAGCTTTTTTCCCTTAGATTTTTTTTTCAGATTTAGTTTTCATTTACTTATTTCTAGGGAAGTCTGTAACTTAGTCTAGTTCATTTGATGGCTTCCTTGATGCCAGCATTGATTACATGGTCTTCTACATTCTTTACATAATAATGAATTTTCTTTAAGAATGTAACCAAAAATAGCTGATAAACAAAAATTTGCTTCTTTTGTTAGAATCTGAATAAACATCACTACCCATCTCAATCTAATCATGATGTCACATCTTATCTGAGGTAATAAACTTAATATCCTGTTTTTCACTGGATAACTTGCAGGTTACTTTTGTTTAAAGAAAGAAGCAGCCAAACATTCTCCCATTTCTAACTGGGAAGTAAAATAAAGATTTTGTTTGTCTGCCACAAAAAGAAGTTCACATCCATAGTCCCCAGAAGTCTGATTGCTTTCAAATCTAATCTTTCTTTTGGCTTTTGTTCTCTCTGACCTTTCTCTAGCAAGCTTGGATGTCTGTGCGTTTCTTCACTCTTGCCCCCAGTGCTTTAAATTTCTATCTTTGAGAGAAGACACTTCCTCAAAGGATGATTTATTCTTAGCTTTAAGGCTGTTCCAGTTACTCTTCAGCTGATACAGCATCAAACCTTCCAACATGACTGTGAGGTGGAGAAGACATTCCATTTTGTCCAGCAGAGCAGCAGAGGCACTGAAAGAATAACAGAATTGAGGCAGAAAGGGGATCTTGGTTGTGTTGTATGGAATGGTGGTTGAAATCTAAGATAGGAAAATAGTCATGTATCTTTTTACTGGAGAAAAAGAGTGACTTGTGTTATCGTATAAAATGTGAATGAAATTTGCAGAATGCCATAATTAATATATTTTGCAGAATACCTTTATTTTGTCCTTACCTTGTCAAAATTTGCTTACTTCAATTATATCTGATTTTCATGTGCACATTTTGTTAATGAAGAGTGATTAATTGGAAAACTGTTTGGTATTTTTCATGAAAGGTAAGTTCTTAAAAACCTCATGTGCATATGTGTATATTTCTACAAAAGCAAACCATAATTCTTGGAAATATATTTAGTTGTATGACTAAGTAATTAGTAATGACTTAGTAATAATTGAATTAGCCCCGTTTCTAAGGCTCTGTCAGAGAATAAAGAATATTTGAAAAACCTCTACAGAATGAGAACCAAATCCTGAAGTTGAAGCTCTAGATTGCGTTTTCTTAAATCACTAAGCTCGTGACAGATCAGGTGTTTTGAGTTTAGGTTATCTGCACTTCAGTTGCAGGTAGACAGCTTTATGTGATTTTAAATGCACATATTTGTTAAATAGATTAGGTATACAACAATAAATATGGGTAATTCTTAATCTGTATGTGAGTAATTTAAATCTGACATATAACTGTGCTTCTGACTTTTTTTTTTCTTTTACCTTTTGCAATGCTTGGAATTCTGTTGGGGTTATTCAGATGCATTTTGAAAATGGATCATCACTGCCCTTGGTGAGTGTACTATTGGCTTTCTTTTCTTACTTTCTGATTTGATAAAATACACTCTTGCTGGGCTTTTTGTGAAGGTGATGCTTCACTATTCCTAGAGTTAGATGCTTATGTGAAGTTACTGGTCTTGTAGAACCATTGGAGTTATTTACTGTATGTCCTTTTTTCTTAGTTGTGACATATGGAAAGAAGTTCATGTATAATTTTTCTTAGATCTCTGAGCTGGGTAACTATGTTTTTACAGTAAAGATGAGGTAGACTTCTGGCCAGTGAAAAAACTTCTTTTAAGGATTGCTGTTTTCTTTATAGTTCGAGTATTACTGTGCCTTTGTTGCAATGAATAATGAAATGCCACCCTAGGTTAAAAATGAAAGGGCAGGGGTGTTTCTAGTTCCCTTTACTGAAGCTCCCAGGACAACTGGAGTGGGCTTGCTGGAAACAGCAAGTTAGTTCTTTTAGTTTTATGGGTTTTTGTGTTCTTTCATTTTTCCTTCCCTCTCCCTCCCACCCTCCCTTCTTTTGCTGCCATGTCAGCCTGCACAGTGGTTTTGTTCTCCTGTGTTCTCTTAGCAGCCCTTGGGACTAGTGGGTAGGCAGGTTACATAATTAATTTTATATCAGTTTGACAGGTGTCTCACAGAAATAATTAAAATAATTGTTTAGTAAGGTCTACATTGAGATAATCGAGTGGTATGTGGCAGTTCTTCACTGCATGAAACCTATCAGAAAAGAAGAATCTCCTGTGTTGGACAAACTGATGGGTAGGTGGTTCTAAGCAGCTGTTTTGACACTTTCTTAAATCTAATTCTGGGGCAGAGGAGACTCTGTCCTGAGGGAAGAAGAGGTGCTGGTCTCTTCCTGTTTATTTTGGTCCTGACTACAGCCTCTGACATAATGCAATTTGATTTCAAGAATCTCCCCTTATTTTGCATCTACATGGTAGATTCAATTGAAAGAAATAGTTATCTGTATAGGGTAGAGTTCCTTCCTACAATTTTTTTTGCTGTAGGAATATCAGCATGTGAAATGTGATGATGCTCAGTGTTAGTAATGTGCTTCTTAAAAAAAAACAAGAACAAAAAAACCCCACAACAAAACAGGGAAAGCTATAAGAAAAACAGCTGTCAGGCTATTCCTGACAAAATATTGGTGAAAAGTCTCAATATGACTATTATTGTTCAGTATTATAAACACTTCTTATAGCTTTATGGTCTCTTTGAGATTGTTTGAGTTGTTCTATCTTAAGACATTTAAATGAAAATGTCCTTCATGTAAACTTCAATTTCATAATAAAAATCCATTGTATCAAATAGTAAATCATAAACAGCACTTAAATTTTTTGTAAAAGGGGAGTGAAGTGTTGTTTCACTAGGGCAGAGACTTCTAGGAAAACAAACTCCATTTTCCTCTCAGTAGCATTTGCTTATTTTACCTGTTTGCAGTCTTCTTAATCTAACAACATAAACATACTCAGTTTGAGAGAGTATTTACATTGCTCATTGTTTTTAATCTAATAAACAGTGGGTGCAAAAAATAAAAATACAAATGGAGAAGATAATTGAAAGATGTATAATGCTTCTTGATGGAGAATTGTTCCTTTTGTATTCCAAGTAACAGAAAAGCATTGAAAAAGAAGTATTGTCTTGTGTTATTTTTCCTAATTGGAGTGGATGTTCACAGTTCCTGGCTCACCCAGAAAAAAAGAACTACGTGGAAGAGACAAAAAAGTTTTGAAATACTGCACCAATGCTGATCAAGCTTTGTAGTTTCCTGTAAAGACCCATGTTCAAAGGTTCTTTGGGAAATATATGGCTATCTTGCCAACAAAAGTAAGGGTGTAAGTCAGTATAATGGATGGATTTTAGTCTCTCTGAACATTATTAGGTCCTGCTTTGCTTTTCATGTTGGGATTTTTTGGTGGGAGCAAGTTGTGTGGGAAGGAAGGGGGAAAGAACTCATTTGATGCTTAGGGACAGCAGGGAAACAGTAATGAGAGTTACCTCTAACTTAATATTCTGCTATGAGAAGGATTTCTGGAGAGAAGACAGGTAAGGATTACCTAGGGAGTAAGATGAAGCATTTGGAAGGCAGAGTTAATAAGAGGTAGTCATGTCCTAGCCCCAAGTCACCTGTGTTCTGCTCTCAGGAAGGGAGGCTTTATTTTGGCTGTCATTCTTGTGCTAATGGAAGTGCTGTGATAAACAGAAATATTTAATGCTAACTGCCCACTAACTACTCTAACAGTTTTAAGTGATGCATTAGTGATTTCTAGTGCTGCTGCTACTCACTATAGACAGACGGAGCTGCAGGCAGGAATGCAATGGCTTGAGGCATCACCAAAAATATTGTTTGTATGTAACACTAATGTTAACAAGGTCCATTAAGAACACCTTAGGAATAATTTGAAACATTTCTCCTTTATCTCCTGAGTAATCCAAAAAGAAATTAGCATCTCCTGAATTCTGTGATGCTTCTTGTTAACTGTGAGTTGAAACCCCTTACTGCGTTGTAAGTTATTTCTTTGCCTGGCATTTTCAGTAAACTAACTCTTGAGACAGGAATTATGTATTTTCTTTTTATACTTCAAAATGAAGTGTTTAAAATGTTAGCTGTAATACAAATTGTTACTCTGTACTGTTCTTCTGTGTTAATGTTTCACTGCAATAACATACCATTATTTAGCCACTTGTCAGTATATTTATCAATTTTAATCTTTCTCAGAAATGTTAGACTTCAAATCTAACCACAATCCTTGGGGTTTAAGATTTGATACTACATGCTCAAGCAGTACAATTACAAAACCCTGGTGTTTACTTTCTCTTCAATCTTCTGATAAAGTGTTCTCTTCCAGTAAGAACTCCACGGTCTGGGGCTTTGCCAGAATTGAAGGGAGCATAAAAATTTATACAAGTTTATTTTGACGTGTGTACTGCATGCCATAGTGCAAAAGAACAGCGATAAAGAAATCTGTCTTTGATTCAAGAAACTTCATCTTTGGGGAATAAAATTTCACTTGATATTTCTTTTCTCACACCAAACAATGCCTCAAAGGAAAAACAGTCCTAAAATAAATATCGTGAAAGGAAAACAGGGTTATCACAGAAACCTTGAATTTGAATTGGTTGCAGTTTATCATGGAATTGCCTACTTTGATGTTTTTCATGGCTAGGCGTCGCAAACGAAGATTTAGGAAGGCTCTATCCACATTTGTTACAAGCACACTGGTGGCTAATAAGGCCAATGCGAGATAGACATGTCCGATTGCAAAAGGCACAGCAGAAAGACTCCTTAGATGGTATGTTCTGCAAGGCACGATTCTTTCTGCATTGTCTTTTCTCCTCGAGAGTGATCCTGTGTTGCTTTCTCAAAGGAAACAGCAGCGTTATAGATGGTGTGTCTCCAGACCTCCCGATTGGAGGCCAGAGTAGACCAATTATGTTGATCAATATGGCCGTATTTAATTGAAAAAACCCCACTTCACTGCATGATGAGCTTAGAAATATATCTTCCTATTTTTTTTTATTAGAACAATGTGTTTTGAGTCCTTAATTGTAGTTAAAGCAGATACTTAGCTATTGCTGCATGTTTAAATGATAATGCTAAATGTAATGTTTAGCCAACGTGACACATTTTGTCAAAACAAAACTTAGAACAAACTCCCTATCCACTCTGAGAATGAATGACAGTAGTGTACAGTGTAAATTCATTTGGTGTTTTAAGATTTTACCTTTATCTCATTAGCATGTATTCTGCCATTAGCATCCGTCTCCCTAGAGAAGAGATCAGTTACAATAACGTGTCCTGCACTTCTAGAAGCTGAAGTTGAGACCTGCCACACATTTTTTTTAGAATTTTTTTCAATATACAAGTGCTCTTGTGAGTGTAATCTTCTCTTAATTAGCTGATCTTTTTGACAGCAGTATCAGTTAGTTAAGGTATATGGAATTATTTTTTTTAACTCATATGAAGAATTTTGTCAAAGTTAGTGCAAAGATAACTTCGATTAGCTTCTTAATGCAACCAAATAAAAGAGGAAGTGGTTTGCCAATAGTCTGCCTGTGGGCAGCACTCCGATATTTTTCATTTGGTGGATGTAATATCATTACATGTTTAATAGAGCTCTGAAATTCATAATACTTAATATGTTGTCTCTATTGGGAAGCTGCCATGGTACTAAATGTAAGCTCATCATCATAGTGTATACTAGTTGCTCATTATTGTCTATAAAATCTTCACAAATGGGAGACAGGTGAACTTAAATCCCATAAGCAAAAATGATAAAATGAGATTTATTTTAACATTTGGATGTGTATTTGCATATTTCTAATGTCTTTTATTTCCTGTCATGTTGTCACTGATATGAAATGTTTTCTGTCTATTTAAGACTAGTATTTCTCTCATTTTTTTATCTAAATGTAAATATTTTTAGGAATTGCCTATGAATGCTCTTAAGTTTGAGAATAATACTAAGAAGTTTTAATATGTAGTGTAATGAATGAAGGAGGATGTGGATTAAGTGAGACTGCTTTTATTCTCACAAAACTCAGTCGAGATTCAAATTCTTGGCTTGTTACTGTCCCAGCTGACATGCAGTATGCCTAATGGCATAACATGGATACTTACCTGCAAACTAAAAAAGTAGCTCTAACTGCAATCACATTTACATCAGATATGCTGGGAACAGATTTCATACCATAAGAGGAAATTTAATTTCAGTAAGCTGTTGAAAGCAGCGTTACCTGGTAAAGTTCTTTGGGCTTTTTCTAGTGGTGGTGTTATTTTGCTTTGGGTTAGAATTACTACATTAATTTGAGAATTGAAACTTAATCCATTTCAGTAGCTTGGGGCAGCAGAGATAGGATGCAAAACTTGGTTTACATGCTGATATTAACTTTTTTTAGAGTAAATAATTTAAATTGGATGAAAGCAAAAGAAAATAACTTTCATGACATTCCATTTTTACTTCTACTTTTTTTTTTTAATCAGGGTGAACAACTGTGTAGGATTCTCCAATTACAAATTTTTCCTTCTCTTCTTGGCTTACTCGCTAGTGTATTGCCTTTTCATTGCTGCAACAGATTTACAGTACTTTATCAAGTTTTGGACAGTAAGTACCCCAATCTACATACTGTCTTGAAGTGTATGAAGTTACTGCTGTGCCAGAAGTATAAGATTCTAAGGGGGCCTACAAAAAAGCTGGAGAGGGACTTTCTTACAAGGGCATGTAGTGTTAGGACAAGGGGTAATGGTTTTAAGATGAAAGAGGGCAGATTAAGATTAGATATTAGGAAGAAAATCTTTACTGTGAGGATGGTGAGTTTGCGTAGAGAAATTGTGGATGCCCCATTTCAGGAAGTGTTCAAGGCCAGGTCAGATGGGGCTTGGAGCAACCTGCTCTAGTGGAAGCTGTCCCTATCCATGGCAGGGGGCTTGGAACTAGATCACAGAACCACAGAATACACTGAGTTTGAAGGGACCTATAAGGATCATCGAGTCCAACCCTTAGCCCTGCACGGGACCATCCCCAGGAGTCACACCATGTGCCTGAGAGTATCATCCAAATGCTTTTTGAACTCTGTCAGACTTGGTGATGTGACCACTTCCCTGGGGAGCCTGTTCCAGTACCTAGCCACCCTCTGGGTGAAGAACCTTTTTCTAATATCCAACCTAAACCTCCCCTGACACAATTTCAGACCATTTCATCGGGTCCTGTCACTGCTCACCACAGAGAAGAGATCCGCGTCTGCTCCTCCTCTTCCCCTCACGAGAAAGTTCTAAACTGCAATGAGGTCTCCCCTCAGTCTCCTCTTCTCCAGGCTGAACAGACCAAGTGCCCTCAGCTGCTCCTCATATGGCTTCTCCTCAAAGCCCTTCACCATCTTAGTTACCCTCCTTGGACACTCTCTAAGAGCTTAATATCTTTCTTATATTGTGGTGCCCAAAACTGCACACAATATTCAAGGTGAGGCCACCCAGTGCAGAGCAGAGCAGGACAATCCCCTCCCTTGACTGGCTGGTGATGCTTTGCCTGATGCCCCCAGGACATGGTTGGCCCTCCTGGCTGCCAGGGCACTGCTGACTCATATTCAACTTGCCATTGACCGGGACCCCCAGGTCCCTTTCTGTGGCACTGCTTTACAGCATCTCATTCCCCAGTCTGTATGTACATGCAGGGTTGCCCCATCCCATGTCCAGAATCTGACACTTTGCCTTGTTGAGCTTCATATGGTTGATGATTGCCCAGCCCTCTAATTTGTCGAGGTCTCTCTGCAGGGCCTCCCTGTCTTCAAAGGAGTCAGCAGCTCCTCCCAGTTTTGTGTCATCTGCAAACTTGCTTAGTATCCCTTCCAGTCGTGCATCCAAGTCATTTATGAAGATGTTGAAGAGCACAGGACCCAAGATGGAGCCCTGTGGAACCCCACTACTGACAGGTCACAAGTCTGATGTTACCCCATTCACTATCACCCTCTGTGTTCGACCCGTGAGCCAATTGCTCACCCACCACATGATGTGTTTATCCAGCTCTGTTGGACATTTTGTCCAGAGGATCCTGTGAGATACAGTATCAGAAGCTTCAGTGAAATCCAAAAAGATGACATCAACTGGCTTCCCTTGATCAACTAGGTGGGTTACCTTATCATTGAAGGAAATAAGGTTTGATAAACAGGACTTTCCCCTCATGAAGTTGTGCTGGCTGTGACCAATGACTGCGTTGTCTTTCAGGTGTTTTTCAGTACCTCCCAGAATAATCTTCTCCATAACTTTACCAGGCACGGAAGCGAGACTGAGAGGCCTGTAGTTTCCGGGATCCTCCTTCTTGCCCTTCTTGAAAATCAAGACAGGGTTTGCCCAAGCTTCCAGTTGGCTGGGACCTCTCCAGATTCCCAAGACCGCTCAAAAAATCGAGAGAGGTTTTGTGATGACATCAGCCAGCTCTTTGAGGATTCTGGGATGAATCCCATCAGCCCCACAGATTTGTAGGTATCCAGCTGGAGCAGCAGATCCTGCACAATTTCAGGGTCAACTGGGAGTTGATCATTCTCACAGTCATGGTCCTCCAGCTCAGGGCACTGAGACTCCCTTGGTCCGTCATCTGATTTGAAGACAGAGGCAAAGAAACATTAAACATCCCTGCCTTGTCTCTGTCCCTGTTTGTGAAGTGACCATCCCCATCCTGTAACAGGCTGATGATATTTCTATACTGTCTATTGCCATTAATGTATTTGAAAAATCTCTTTTTATTGTCACCCACATTTCTGGCAGCTTCAACTCCAACTGAGCTTTGGTCGCACACATTTTCTCCCTGCAGTGGCAAGCAGCATCTCTGAATTCTTCCCATTTTACTTGACCTTGTTTCCACTGGGCAGACACCTTCCTTTTTTGCCTCGTCTCTGAGAGAGGATTCCTGTTCAGCCAAGCCAGCCTTCTACCTTGCCTGCTTGACTTCCAGCATTTGGAAATTGCCTGCTCCTGTGCCCTTAGGAGGTGTTATTTAAAAAGTGACCGGCACTGATGGACCCCAGCATCTGCAAAAACATTTTCCCAGAGTACCTTACTAACTAATTTCCTGAGCAGCCTGAAGTCTGCTCTCCTCATGTCCGGAGTCGAGGTTTTGCTGGCACTTTTCCCTTCCAAGCCAAGGCATTCTGTGATTCCAAGGCATTACATTGTAATCTAGTATCTTCTAATATCATGTACGAAAGTACAAAAGATCTAATAATCACAGCCCTCATTTTTTTTCTCTTATCACAGGTCATGAAATTTCACTCATTTCTTAATTATTTTGAAGTTGATTTATGCTATAAGTATTTTGAAAAGGCTAATAAAACAACACAGTTTTTGTAAAGACAAATTATGCTTCACTAAAAAACACTTCAGAGTTCAGATCCAAATTTCAGATTCTTGCTCTCAGTATTTATAGTTTCTCAAGAAAGGGCCTGTTTCTTTAACTTAGGTGCTGTCACCAACCTAGTTGCATGGCTGTCTGTACACTGGAGGTGTATAGTTCATTTATTCATATTCTTGTGTGGTACATTTGTCTCTGTGCTCAATTTGATTTTGCTGAATAGAGAATTATTAATAATCAAATTAAACAGCTATTTCCCTAGTTCTAATGGCATCATTTTTTTTATTCTTAGAATGGCCTTCCTGATACTCAAGCCAAGTTCCACATCATGTTTTTATTCTTTGCTGCAGCTATGTTTTCTGTCAGTTTGTCTTCTCTCTTTGGGTATCACTGTTGGCTTGTCAGCAAGAATAAATCCACATTAGGTAAGTAGATTTAATGCTTCTGTGTTTGACAGCAAAAAATAATTAATAAATGTATATTATATGTATGGGTGTAATGGAAAAAGTGGACAATTCTACACAGGTTCCTTGGACCCTGGTTAAAATCGCCCAGATCTGGCACTGTCCAGTCCTGACTCCCCAGTTCTGCTACTCCCTGGAAATTCTCTTTCCTTCATGTCCCAAAGGGCTGAGTTATTAATAAACTTATGCTCTTCCTCTCACTACTTTCCATCCACAGCTTGTTAACAGAAACTGAATAAAATAAAAAACTGAAAATAAAATTGAGATGATTTTCTAATAAATGTTAGATGCACTACTGCATGCTCATGTGGTTGTTTTTTGGCATTCTCAGCCCAAAGGTCAGAGTCCTCTGATATGGTGTCTCAGTAAGGGCAGTGGCTCCAGCACTTCATGCCCACCCTTACCCCCTGCAGAACCAAAGTTCTGTCAGAGAATGACCTGTTAAAGAAGAACAGGCAGTGCTTCTCTATTTAGTAGTAAGTGAACAATGGAGATCCTAAAGGCAGTTTCACAGTTGTGAGAGCTGTCTGCCACATAATTATAGATACATAGAAAGGACTCTGTGTTATGAATTAATTTTTAAAACCTCAAAGAAGATGGCCTGTTCCTCTACCATATGGCAGTATGTATAACTGCATTGAATATCAGCCTTAAACCAGGATTTTCCTCCACTTAAATACATGTGTTTCTGATTACAAATCTTAATAAATAAAGGAAGGTGCAGAAGATTTGAGTGCCTGTTCAGTGCTATATCCTGGACTGTAATAATGCCAATTTGCAGTATAGCCGTTAAAGTTCTAAATCTTTAAATGCTTTTCTGTTGATATAAGCTGAATTAGAGTAAGCCAGTGAATTGATCTGTTTCTTCCAGTTCTCTTTGGATTTCCTAATATGTAGGTGACTAATGGAAAAATTTGAGAATAGATATCTATATCAATGGAAGACAGCTTGTTTACATCAAGATTTCTCTAGTGTTTGTGGGTTTCTCCAATATTCTGACAAATCATTGACTTAGAAATTCGTACTGGAAAAAATGGTTCAGTCTAGTTATAAGGACAAAAGTTTTATTAAAGATGCTTAAATGAATGGCAGTAATTAAGTATTCTATTTATAAACTGGTCTTTCAATTTTAGTGCAAAAAAAAATTGTTCAGAGGTAGCCATTATACATTACACTTTTAATTCAACTTTTCATTTTCAAAACTAACAGAATTCAATACAGGTAATATAACATGGTTTGTGCATGCTTAGGCTACTCAAAGGGATCTGTTTGTCTCTTCTTCCTACTTTACTTTGGGAAATTGCTCAATATGTGAAACCCTCAACATGCAATAATTTGGTAATGAAGCCACGATAGCTTTAAGTGTGACTGTGATTGAATCATCCTGGGAGGTGTTTTCCTGGCTTAACATGGGCATCTGAAAGGGTGCCCCAATTTTCCCTTCCCCCTTCTTTAAAAGTATGGTAATTAATGCATACTGCATGTGGAGGGTCATTTCCAGCAGTTCATAGCTAAGGTTTTACTGCAGAAGGACAGTCTCAGCATGATTCTGACATGGTTTCTGGGAGCTGTACTGTCAGGACATCAGTATGTAGTTTGCCTACTATATATAGCCAATTAAGGGAATTAAATGGCTATCAGTTACTTAGTGGAAAGTGAATGAATTTTGTGCTTCAGGCACTTTGCAACACTTAAAGCTATATTTAGCTCTCTTCTCCAGAAATTTAGTTTGCATTTCCATGGGAAATAATCTGGGTCTATGAGCAAAGTCGTTTCTTTATGCAACTGTAAAAACACACAATATTTTCATACCCCAGGGTATGAAAGGCTAGTCTTACTACTAAAGTAGGTTAAGCTTTTCTGCTTTTCCGTTGCTCTTTCTGTCTTAAACCCTTCGTTTAGGTTTTTCTTTCTTGAACACTCTCTGTGGTACAGTCACATGCTACAATCTTCATATAAACCTATCATGCCTTCTTAAAAAGTGAGTTCCTCACTCTCCCTTGCCTTGATTAGGGAGGAGAGTGAAGGAGACTTTCACCCTTCCTGAACCGTTGGAATTCATTCCTCTGCACGCACAGCGAGTGTGCAGGACTGACTTCAGCTTTCTCAGTCATTTGGGCAGTACAGCCTTTCCTCATTGGTGCAATTGCCTATATACTGGTGTGAAACGTAAACATTGTAACTTGTGAAGAGATCTAATTAATCATTTTCTTTTAAGAGGTATTCAGAGCTCCCATATTTCGTCATAGAACAGACAAGAATGGCTTTAGCTTGGGCTTCAGCAAAAACCTAAGGCAGGTGTTTGGTGATGAGAAGAAATACTGGTTGCTGCCTGTGTTTTCAAGGTATGCTGTTCTTAATGCTTCATTTCTTGAAATTGTTGAATAATCAGGATCCAGAGGTTTTGGGGGTGGTTAGTTTTTGAAATAAGATGCAGTAATACTTTAATAAAAAAGTTCTTCAAAGTTGTTGGATTTTTGTATGTATGACACTAATTCTGAATTTTTCAGTTTAGGGGATGGTTGCTCCTTCCCAACTTGCCTTGTTAATCAGGATCCTGAGCAAGCTTCCACACCTGGTGGTCTTAATTCAACATCCAAAAAGTAATCTGCTTTTTGTTACACATTCTAAATAGTTGATTTTTTTTTTCCTGTGCGCACATAAACAGAACCGTGTATAAGATACTCTTCATTTGCTTACCACTTTTATGTACCCTGTTAATAAATCCAAGTCAGATTTTAAACAGCTAAGCAAACCAGCTAATTCTCAGATTTATTTTTACATTATGGAAGTGAGGTGGGGTGGGTTTTTTTTCCCCCGATGTACTTTGTCTTGGTTCAGTGGCATCCCAGGACCTGAGTTTTCCACCCCTCCCTGACATTCAGTATCAGCAGCATTCTGTTCTGCATACATGTGAGCTGGTTAGTTGGTCTGCCTGTGATACAAATCCATTACTTTGCACAGCTTTTGGGGGAGGCCTGCTTTTCTGTGTCTGGTGAAAGCTGCTTCACATGAGGGAATCCCTTATGGCACTTGTGCCAAAGCACAGGAAGCTAAATATTAAGTGTTGTTTCTGCTGATAATAGAACATATTTTATTAATTCTTAAACTTAATGAACATGACACCTTTAAAGTGTGAAAAGTATGCAGATGCTCTTTTAAATAAATATAATAGCTTAGTATTTCATATCTTTTTTGCAACACTTATGTAATGAAAAGTGTGAAAAGTATAGTAAATTTGAATACGTGGCTAAGAAATTATAATGGAATCATACTGACAATCTTTTATTCATAGTAGAAATATATTATATTTCAGCTAGCTGCTTACTGACGTTTTATCTTACCCCAGCATTCCATAACTTATGTTAGGCAAGAGATTTTTGAGATGTTCTCTCCACTATTTATCATGTCAAGCTTGTTGTAGTGGGAAAGATTATAGGTAAGAGTGCCTTTGCAGCTGAAGTACATACATGTATTAATATATAATAGCTGTCAAGTTAAAAATCAGAATGTTTCCCTGTTCTGTGCTAGGGAGTTGCTTTTTAGATTGCACTTGCATCTGTGACAACTGCACTGTAATATGTGTAATGATAAAAGAATAGTGATTCATCAGAAAAGCAGCAAGGTAAGGTAGGAAAAGTACTGTGTATGACAAAGTGTTTGTAATGTGTGGTAAGATAATGAAAAATTACTGCAGTTCACTAATGTTCTTTTTATTGTTACTACAGTGAGAACCATCTGTTTCCTGCAAAGCCACTGCGTGATTCCCAGAGCCACCTACTTACGGATACACCTTCTTGGTCAGAAACTAGTGTAAAGGCTGAAAAGGGCAAAGTTGGTAAGGAATTGATTTGTGCTTCAATGATTCGTGTTGTATAAACTAGTTTTCGAAGGTCACTCGATTTGTATTCATGAACCAAAATTCATGAAGCTTCTTCTAAATGCATGCTTATAGGAAGTTCCATGTGTCAAAGCTGCTGTGCCCTTCCTAGTTAAACCTGACTGAGGTACTGAGGACACTGACACCAGCAGGTGCTAATTATCTTTTAAGCTAAGCCTGATAGTACTTTTGACAAGAAATTGCTTATAAAAGAGTATAACACCTAGTTGCAACTAGTGAAAAGCTGTGTGAAAGACACAGGACAGGAATAGACTTGGTAATAGTGTAGTGGCATTAAAATGATTGTTAATTAAAGGTTGTATTATTTGCTGAAGTAGACATGAGACCTTTTCTTGTGGTAGTACCATTCTTTGTCTTTAAAGGTATGAACAATCCTGCATTAACCATGGAAAATGAAACCTAATTTCTCTTAAAAGAAGCGTCTGAATATATAAGGAAAAGGTATGTTAATATTCTCTGTACTTAATATGTTATTCCATGATTCCTTATCACTTGAGGAACGCACGAAAGAAAATTACTAAAACAATTCCTATATGTTTTCTTTTCTTCAATTAATTTTTTTACCATGAGTAGTAGCACATGAATTCATAGTTTTAAACTAAACCTCCTATTTCTTGATGTATCATATTTGCAAAATAGTTCAATCTTTATACCTATTAGTTTTAGGTAATGTTCCAATATATTATTATTCCCTTTCTTTAGAAAGACAATGAAATTGTGACTATTCAAACTTTTCAGCCCATATTTGTAAAGCTGAGTTTGAAAATTAAGTTAGTTCTTAACAATGAATGCCAAGATCACAGCTTGGTATGGTAATGCAGGTAAAGGTCTATCAAATGATGAAGGAAAAAGGATTTAATCTAATATATAAGCTATTCATGTCTTGTTCTGTGTCAGGTACTGAGCTGGATCCTTTCTGATAGTAAAAATGTGCTGCCTACTGAAGACAAAAAGTGTTTGTATGACTTCCTGAACATTTAATCACCCATTGTCAAAAACAGCTGAGATTTTTTTGATTTCTTGCATTGATATCTTGCAACAGAGTTCCCAGAAAGGAGTTTTGAGAAGCAGCTAGTAGATTCTGTTGGGTACATAAGGAGACCTTAATAATTGGGTTTTGGGGAATAAACACAATCGATCATCATATTCAGTTTGGTATTTGAATATTGCTAAGTCCACCAAAGCTTCTGTAATTAAACTATTTTGTATTTAAAACTGTATAAAAAATTTGACCCTAACCCTAAGACTGTCTGTATACCAAATAATTGGTATGGAGCAATAGTTGGTATGACAGCAAGGTCAGTTCTGTCTCTACTGTTGGAAGTAACCTTTCCAGTCATCCTGAAAAAGTGTCTTGAGTGGATATGCTTCATTTGTGTGCGACATGACTCCTGGACATGCTGTCATGGTCCCTCATGGAGAAAGTGGAAGGCATAGAAAGCCGTCAGGGAACTGCAGTGATTGTTACTAGATCCATCAGAAATGATATTGCACTGTCAAAGCAGATTATAAAAATGGTAGGTGTGCACATACCAATAGATGGTATTGCATATATGGCAATATATGGCACATACCATAGGTTGTACCAAAAAGTTCAGTTTGATTCATAAGAGAAACTAAAAAAATTCTTGACCCTTACATTCTGGTTTTGTGTTCAGTGATGAAGACCCAGTTCCAGATATAGGTACATCTGCAAACTTGATGATGATGTGAAGTGTTAGAAGTGTTGAAAATGTGGGTGTCAGATGAGCAAAGTTAAAGAGATGAGCGAAGGAAATTTAAGACGGTGTCTGCAATTTTGACTGCTTTGTTTATGTTATTTGAATAGAATATAAAAACCTAATTTCTAAACCTTTGTTCAAAATGGAAAATGCTGTATTTCTGCCTTGTTTAATCCATCTTTTTTTTTAACAAAAGAGCAGCTACTCGGAAAGAATAAATTACTCAACTTAATCATCAACCAGTTAGTTTGATGTCTTACGTGTCATCACTGATCAAGAGTAAAACATTGGAGACAGACTTTAAAGAAACAGATTTTTGGATTATGTTACAGAAATACCATTAATTGCAACTAGTTTTATTGGGTACTACTTTATTGGGTACTACTTTAGAACTACTTTCTAAAGTCCTAACACTTTATTTACTTAAGTTACAGCTTTTAAACTTTAATCTTTCTTTGAAGAGTTGTACATTTTATTGGAACTTAGTAATTCAGATTATTCTGAACATCAGACATGGTCTGTGACTGTTCTAGAGATGTTAATAGTGGGGTTTTTTTCCCTGCTGTTCAGCTTGATAAACAACTCATCTCTTTTTTAATTGTTTTTTTTCTTTTAGTCCAGTCTGAGAAAGTAACCATTAGATATATGTTTGCAGTCTGATTAACTCACTCCTGGGGTTTGTGGGCTTTGTTTGTTTGTTTGGAGCTTTTTTGTTTTTTCTTTTTGTGAGCATCCATTATGAAATGAGGCTTTTAAAAGAGGTACCACTTTTGGAGGAGGTTATGTTCCAAAGAGTAAGTGTAAAACCACATAAAGGGGCTCCTGCACATTTCAGAAGGGTAATATCTTAAGGACTGCTAATTCTTTGGCATGGTTTGGTTCTATTTGGCACTTAAAAGACTTTAATGGAAAAGTAATAAAAAAGCCAATTTGTATATATATATATATATATGAAATACAGTTGCTGGAATAAGAGCCCTTATATAACAATTTTTTTTAACTACTTTGCATTTAACTTCATTGCTTTATTGTCAGTATTTGAGTTATATTTGTTCCTAGGGAGTGAATAGAATAGAGCTGCTGAAGTCACCACAACAAAACCAAGTAATTTCATCTTTAACATGAAAAATACAGCCCACAGCCCCTGCCAGTGTGTTAGAGTTAGAATTTCTGTCCCAACTAAGGATACGTTCAATAACCTGTATCCTGTAATCCTTCATAATTCGTTAGAGGACTAATTACTGAGAATGCCAGATATGGTTTACAGTAATGTAATAGAGAGTTGTTCTTTAATGATGCTGTTACCTGGAAATACTGTAAAAATAGCTCACTTCATTTTATAAACTGGTGGCCTGCTTGCTGTGTAGTCAGTACTTAATCACTGTCATCCTGAAGTAGATTAATAACATGAGTAACACAACTGTGAACAGTCTTACAGTGTTCCTCTTCATAATTTTCATGCTTCTGTTGGTCACTTCCCCTTCAAGTTGATGATACCTGTAGCAATAACTTAATTTTTAAGTGTTCTTTGATTGTAATAATGTATTTTGTAATTAATGTTCTGTTCCAGTTTAAGAAGAAGCCGTCATTGGAAGGAAGATGGATTCTTCCAAATTCAGCCCTGTTGGTCAGCTGTTCCTGTCTGCTCCTGTATGGATGTGCTCAGAAAACAAACCAACAGATGATTAACTGTCTCTATGTCCATGCTTGAAATACAAAACTAGACATACTACTTCTGAACCAGACAAAGAATTTTTCAACTTAAAATTACTGTGTTTGAGTGGTGAAGGATGACTGAATATTAGGAAATGAAAAAAATAGGAGGCTGAGTTTACAAATGGCTGGTTTTACTTTGATATTCAGCACAAGAAAAATGTGACCTTCTTCTGTATCAGTCCATGTTCTTGCCTTGGTTTCACCTTTTAATTCAAATTGTTGTAAGTAGTTGACTTTAAAATCAAATTTTTGCACTACTGCCCTTATGAATTCCTTATGAATTGGGAGAACACCCAGTGTGGATTGGTGGACTGTATTTTTATGAATAATTTAGTGGCTTGGTGGACTGTATTTTCTTTTGAGTGTTTGATAAGCAGTTTTTGAAGATAAGAAGACCCAAGTGTGAAATGTCTATTTTTGGAACATTTTTTTGGAAAACATTATTGCAAAAGCTCCGTTTCCCCTCAGATCTGCACTACCAATAGTTTGAAAAGTTATAGAGGGGAAAAAAATTCTTTGTTAATTGAATGCTACAGTGGGTCACTGCTCAGTGCTGTGATAAAAAGCCTGTATTCAGATGGGTAATACATACATGAAACTGGCCAGCTGGGGATTTTGATGGGAGCTGCACAGGACAGTGCTATGAAATGGGGATTTTATTGTCCCATTTGGAGCTCTTAACTGCTTTGGGAAGTGAATGTTGGCACTGAACTTTAATCCAAAAGGCTTTTTACCAACCTGTGTTCCTGAGGGCCTCTGTCTTTCAAGCTCCTAGTTTCTTATTATCGATATTTGTGTCAGATTTCTTTTTTCTTGTTCTTCAAGACACTGCCTTTCTTACTGTATAATTTAATGGATATCATGTACAATCAAGGAGACTTATCACAATGACTTGTGATATTTGCATTTACAGGACAACAGAGTTTTGATTGCAATACCAAAAAGCCAAGCTGCTGCACGTAGGAAATCCCCTTCAATAAAGTTAGGAGCTAGCAGCTTTCTTAGCATCAGAGGTTACTGGCCAGGTAATAAAAGACACATTATCAGTTTTCAAAGTCAAGGAAGTTTCAGCAACACAAATCTAACTGTCTTGTGCCTTTTGTATACACTACATTTATAGTATCAGTGTTTACATTTAAATGCAAATTGTTATTCTGAAAACAACTTTAGGAGAAACTTAGTTACGCTTTCTTGGTGGCTAGATAAAAGGACTATTCAAAAAAAAAGTGAAAACCTCTCAGACTAAGCTCAGCTCAGTTGAAACAGAAAAGTGCTTCTGTTGTCAAACCTGAGTCTCTTAGCAGGTTGGTTCACAGTGTAAAGATGCCAGTTGTTTGTTCAGAAAACTGGCAGCAGGACTAAGTGACATAATTCTGAAAGCAAAGAATACTATCATTAACTCTTCTACAGGCAGGTAACTTTAAAATTTTTCTTTCTTGGGTTTACAACTGAAGTGATAGCTAGTGGAGCACAAATGTGGCTTTTTTTTTTAGTGAGGAAAAATGTATTTATTTTACTTTTTTTTTTTAATCTCAATATTTTACCAGCCTGAAAACATCTGTTTTTTTGCCAGAAGTGCCAGAATGTGGATCCCTTGATGTAGAACACTTTCTGAACTAGCATGAAGGTAGCATACAGTTTACATGATGCCTGCAGAGGTCTAGCAACCAAAAGATTTTTTGCAGCTATTTATTCAGTATTGTTCTGTCAGCTTACCTCGTATTTATGTTTGTTTAAAGGTGAACTTGTTAAGGGATAAGGGGGAAGAGGGAAAATATATTTTTTAACACTTCAGGTTCTCTATATCTGTAGAGTCTTGTTTTTTACACAGTTAGTCACAGGGTGGTTTGTCATGGAGCATGCATTTAAAAATACCGAGTAAAGAGTTGAAATTCAGCTTCAATGTAACTTGCTCCATATTTTTATGTAAAGACGAAAGATTTCTCCCCCAGCAAAAGACATCAAGGAAATGGATCTCTCTAATACAGATGTCAGTCTCTCTGAGAGCTCTCAGTAAGGCTGGGGATCAGTGTAGAGAAAGACCAGGGATAAGGGATCAAGAAATGCCTGGCTTCTCCGTGTGTCAGAAGTCACACTTGGAAAGCACAATAGCCCTAAGTAATCTGCAGCTTCGATGCAGCCAGAGGCTGTCCCCCTAGGGGAAAACTGATGGAGGCATGGGAAACAGATGTTGATGAAGGGAGGAGAAGTGGAAAGAGAAAGGATGATAGCTCAGAGGTAAACATTGAGCAGATCTGAGCCAGAGGGTTGTTGCCATATCTGCTCTCTGGATGGGTATGAGTTGTCTCCAGGATTTTGAGGGTTCCTGTCTGTGTAGATACAGACAAAAGTGAGCTAATCATGCTCTGAAGTATAATTTCTGATGATATGACTATGTTCTTGGCTTTAAGCTCTCTAATACTTTCTATAACAAAGTGAAAATGCTCTTTATGACATATTGAGCATTGTCAGTGTTAAAATGCACACAGGAGAATTTGTGAAGAGGTCAGGGGAGCAAGGATGCAATGTTGTTTGTCTGCTTACACTGATTCTTCTGTCCTTTATATTCTTGCTAGGCACTTTACTACAGCCTTTTGTGTAATTTCTGTATATTTTTTTTAAGGACTGCTTTTTACCTACTATACAGTTACTAGTCTACTTTTTTGCTAAAAAGAAAATAATATCCCTGATATCTCTGATTTGTCTAGTAGTAGGACTGCGTTTCAAGCTTTAGTGGAAATTGGACGAGTTCTACAGAGTCCTCAGATGGGCCTGAATCCCTAATGAAAAGAGTTAAATTTATTTTGTGTATATGTAAACAGTGGTATAAATCATAGCTCCCTACATTCATAAGAAGCTTCTTTAATTTGTAGGTTAGAACAAATCCAAAACATGTCTGCACCAGAAGTGGTCCAAACCATACTCTGTGTCAGTTGATGGACTGGTGATGGAATGCTCAAAGTCTTCACAGAGAGTAATTTTTATTAAGAAAATGGAACACAATGTTGGTGAGCTTCTTCATTGAGCAATTAGACACAGCTGGTGCTATGCAATTGAATTCTTCAGCTTGAGAGAAAAAACATTGTCTGGTTTACATTGCAGACTGAAAGATCTTTAGCAGACTAAAGGTAAATGAATGAAACACAGAATCACAGAACTGGTTAAGGTTGAAAGGGACCACGAATGGGGTCATCTGGTCCAACCTCTGTGCTTAAGCAGGGTCTTAGACTACATTGCACAGGATTGCCATGGTGGTTCTTGAGTATCTCCAGTGAAGGAAACTCCAGAATGGTTCAGTAAACAAGTTTGTTTTAATGCATGGAATGCTATAACTGGTTTTAATAATTATTTGGAGAGGTCTTGCCCTGATTCAGTTGACTGGTGTCCTGGAGGTGGGGGAAATATATTTCTACATAAATTTAGTGTATAACTTTGCTACTTGTTAACGTATTGCTCACATAAATAAATGCTTCTTGTTCAGCACGTCATGTATGTAGGAGTCATTGACACACTTCCTTCAGTTTTACTTACGGTGTACCTGAACAGCAGAACACATGTCTGCTATGGCTTCATTAACAACATAGTTGCAGTAAATGTCACTCAGCACCCTTTCACCGGCAATCTTGGACTTCATAGGTAAGTTTCCTTTCCCCAGTTTAATTGTGAAATCTCTAGCACCTCAGAAAGCACCAACACTGAAAGAGGTTGAGAAGGAACCAATTCCTTTATGGTCTTCTATGGGTGAAACACTCCATGTCTTCATGCTGGCAGAGCAGACAGCTGCACTCTTTTGGATACTGTAAAGGTCAGAAAGGTAGAATTTAGTCATAAAAGAAGAGAGGGTTCTTAAACCCACCTAACTTTATAGAAGTGAGGTGGTGCAAGAAAGGGAGTTATGTTACTCACCAGGATTGCTACCCACAAGCAGCTTTGCTTCATGAGAGCTCTCCAGTCTCTCCCATGCCAGATTCTAATCTGCCCGACTTTCCACTCTTTGCTGTCTTCCCTAGGAAAGCGTTGGCTCCACCTCTGGTGCTGAGAGAATGGAGACTGTTTGCTCAGGGGCCTCTAAAAATGCAGGAGCAGTTATGTAAGCAGTTTTCACCTCTTCCAGTTCAGACATAACCTGTGGTATATGGTTTAAGCTCATCCCATTTTTAAAACCCTTCCATAAATACTGGTATTGAACCATATGCAAACAAAACCAAAAATAAATAAAAGAATGTGCTGCTATGCTGTATGGGTGGTGGGGTGTCTCTGTTGCTACTTCTCTTAGAGCTCATCAGTGACCTGGTAATAGTATAGGAAAAGCAGCAGCCTTCTGAGGCGAAATTTTGAGCAAGTGGCATCTAAGGAACGCCCTGCCATTTCCTCTTTGCAATTTTTCAGTTGTTCCCTTTCTAATTTTTTTATCATTCTGCTCTCTCTCTTCTTTCCTTCCATAGAAGTCCAGATTGAAAGTCTTTGATTTGAAATATAAAAATATTTACAGTCTCTTTATTCCTCTCCCTCCCCAAGTTGATTCTAGATAGATAATTCCTTCATTTCTCCAAGTTGGCACGCATCACTGAAATATAGCAACTTGGTCATCCTGAAATCCAGTACTGGGGGGGGGGGGGGGAGGTGGATTGATTACATGCTTCATCCTAGATCACTCTAATCTCAAGCAGATGGTCCCAACAGTTTGAGTGCAGCAGTTGGAAGAGTGTGCCATGAGCCATCTCCCCTTTCCCACCTCCTGCGTGCTTACAGTTTAACTGATTGGCATAACTGGAACAGACCCAACACTTACTGACAGTCATCACTTTATGAAGTCACTT